GGAAGTAGATGTAGAAGCACTTAAATCTTAGTCAAGACTGGGTTAACATCAACAGCAACTACAACTACTATTGTTCTTCTTCTTCTTGGTGGTCCTACTCATAGTCTGTGTTGAGCTCGAGCCACTGTATTTCCTTCGTCAACACCCAAGGGTTGTGTTGACCATCTCCAACGATGCGATGGAAAGATGAAATTATCCATCACTTTTCTCGTGTAATGACGCTTGTATGGAGTATTCACGTTCTTGCTCCGCTTCACTGCTCAATGGAGATGCTTACTTCGTAGGAGATGCTTACCTCGTGGAGGAATATCATACATTGTGTGCAGCTGGGACCTAACCTAACCTTGAGAAGATAGCCGCTTTGGTAATGACTCACGAGAATGAGCTTTTCGTTGACCTTGGCGAACGAGACAGTCTTAGATATTTATTCCTCCATCCTAGACATTGAGAAAACAGGTACCAGAATTTCTGATCATATCTTCATCTTCTCAATCTCAAATTTGTATTTCTCAATACCTCCTCGCATAAATTGTATTTGTTAAATACCACATCCATGCACATTCTTCATAATTGATTCATACATACATACTTATGCACTATGTTGCCCCAGCACGACCTTGAACTGAGTTAGCTAAAAGGTTGCTCCGACACGATAGATCTGGAGAATCATGATGATGTACGCGTATGCTTCCTCAATGGATCGCTAAAACAATGACAATGAAACTTATGCTGGGAGGTGATCACTGTGGGCATCATGAGTTAAATTCGATATGCCCGAGCCACGACTACGACGAGAAGGTTTAAGACGTTACAATCCAGTGGTGCATTATTGCATGCCAGTACTAAAATCTAAAAAGAAATACAAATATAACCGCTGGTACTTAGCTTGGCCATTACTATAATTCTGTACTTATATACTTTTTACCCACTATCCTTACTTTTTCTTCCTAGTTAGCTTGGCTCCACCCGTGTAATATAACCGCTGGAACGAAATAGACTTGTGACTCGCAGGTGAGCTAACTCCTATCTTATCCTAAATAGACTGGTGACCGTCGACGAAAAATGTATAACTACACCATAAGCATAAGGATCCACTTCATAACTATGAATATGAATGAAGCATATCCGAATTATATGTTTGAACGACCCCTGTGCTTAGATCCAAGTGGTGCTGCAGCTCCTTCAGGGTGTTGTCTGTTTTTTGAATCAGCGAAGTGGTGTGTGTGTTGAATCAAGACAGTCTGCCAGAGGGAGCTTCGCGAGAGCACGACCCTTTTGAGTTGTAGAGGCTAAGAGCTTTGGCTTGATGACCAGCGTGGCACGTAAAGAAAAAAGTCGCCCTCGGAAAAGTATACAGAAAGTTGAGAGACTGATTGGGAGAGCTGGGAGATTCAACATCTGTGAACGTCCGTAACGGCAAAGCTAGTACTGAGACTATAACTTCATTACCCACTAATCGTGGGGAGTAGTTTTCTTAGAAAGAGGATGCTCATTTTTTAATTATGTACCTACCAGAAGTAAATCAAATGAATTTTTTGGTTACAGGAGCACGTTGATGCTTGAGAGTCATCAACCATCAATGCTACCTACTAGAAGTTGTAATTATTTCTACTTCGATTTCAAATGGTAGACTCATGCCTTTACCTTCTCGGCACTTGTTTTCTCACGCTTACCAGATATTCAATTTCAAATCAACAACTTACCACCAAAAAATGAAGATGGTGAAAAACCTGAGAACGTCACTTTGCCTCTGGTTGTGTGGTGCTTATGCTGCTCAATTTCACCAGCCTGGAGGCCTGAGGAATTCAAACACCAATGACGGCCGCCGACAATGGTCAAGAGTAGCATCCCCCATACCCTCATCTGGACGCGCACCGATGGGGATGGCAAGAGAGTCCCTGGCAAGAGATTTCCATAGAGATGTTCGTCATGGTGTTGGAGAAGAAGAGGGCCATCACCTTGCAGGAGGGGGACAAGCTGCACGTGGCGAAAGAGTAGGCCAACCTGCAGGTGGCGAAAGAGTAGGCCAACTTGCACCTTTTGAAGGAGAAGGCCAACCTGGACCTCATGAAGGGGTAGTACGAGTGGAACCAAGGCTGACAATAGTTCCTGGCACTCGAGCTCGTGGCGCAAGAACAAGCGTCTTAGATTCAAAGCAGATCCAAGAGCAGATACCGACACAACGACTGCCTTTATTGGAGTTAAGACTTGAGGTAATCCATCCTCACGAGCATCTTGAGGCCTTCCTCTACGGGGAAAGCAGGAGCAGGATGACTTTCAAGATGGATTCCGGGAAGCTCTAAGAGAAGGAGACGGAGAACGAGATGGACGTCATGGAGTGGTGGGTGATCTTAATACGACACAGTTTGTACCACCAGCATTGGCCGCAAGGAGCACTAGATCAGCACTTGTTGGTATAATAAGCAACAGGAATAGAGAAGGAGATGCTGTAGATGAATCTCTAGCAAATAGCCAAAGGAGAAGTGATTTTGAGCGGGATGCAGTGGCAGAGAACTCTAGCCAAAGGAGAATCGGTAGTGGTCAACGTGATGCAGGACAAGGACAACTAGTTACAGAGAATCATGGTCAAAGGTCAAGAACTGGCGGTGATGAAGTAGCAATTTTAGAAAATCATGGACATGGTTCAAAAGCAGGAGGAATTGAAAGACAAGAAAGAGAAAGAATTATGACATCGAATACAGCAGCCGCTGGGGGCCCGCTCCTTCCTCCTGCGCTTTTGGACCTACAGCGATCGTCTTCTGCCGAAAGTATTGACTTTTTTCAACTTACTAAGGCCATCTCTCTCTCCTTCACTCCTTAACCTTTCTGGCACTTTCTTATCTCGTCACGCTTAACTCGTAGTCATTATAAGGCAATCACTATCAATGTCCCAGTCTTCAGATCGTAGGTATTTCTTAAGTCTATAGAAAGTCAACTTCTCATTCAAAAAATGTAGCTTGAGCTTCTTCTCACTCAAATAAACAAGTCCAGAAGCTGAAACACTCTAAGCTTCCTCCAGAGTCGGGAAGCAGTAGCTCGAAAAACCTCCAGAGAAGCTCATCAAGCCTGTTTGCGAGCAGGTCCTCATCACTTTTGGTTACTCCTGCGACAGAGTCTCAACAAGCGCAGACAAAAGCACAGACGAGAACAAGAGAAACTCCAATGGTACCACCAGAACAGGCATCGGCACGACAAGTGTCACCGCGGGACCACTTACAACTACAGGAAGCCGCTCTTGCATCTTCAAGCGCAAGAAGTATACAAGGATCTGCGAGTATTCTAGAACCTAGTGGTGCTCCCCGAGCAGAAACTACTGGTGCTCCCCGAGCAGAAACTATTGGTGCTCCCCGAGCAGAAACTACTGGTGCTCCCCGAGCAGAGATTACTGGTGCTCCCCGAGCAGATTCTACTGGTGCTCCCCGAGCAGAGATTACTGGTGCTCCCCGAGCAGATTCTACTGGTGCTCCCCGAGCAGAGATTACTGGTGCTCCCCGAGCAGATTCTACTGGTGCTCCCCGAGCAGAGATTACTGGTGCTCCTGCTCGAGCACCACCAGCACAACCTTTATCTTCAAGCTCCCTCCGTCCTCCCGCTGGCGCTGACAGCCCTGAAGTTGAAGAGGACGAGAATTCCAAACTTTTGATCACTGAGCTTAGGGATTTTGCTGTTGAGACTGCCAGACGCTTGGATTTGATTCTGCAGCGTGCGTCCGCTGTCTCGTCGACGGCCTCAGCTGCCTCCTCTACGTCTCCTAGCAAGACTAGACGACCTGCTCTGCAGAGAATGTCCTCTTCACCTCCGACCTCGACCAGTGGTGGATTTACGCGACCTCCGCTGGTAGAAGTTGTATCTTCTGAAGGAGAGTCGCGACCAGCACAAGAATCTCCTGCATCAAGAACAGTTTGCTCTCCCAGCGTCCAGGCTGTATTCCACCAACCATCTGGAGTGTCTGCCTCCTCTTCACCTGAGGTAGGTGCACAAACACTGCAGAAGGTTGCAGGTGGACAAAAGAGACAAGCTTCTACCACCACGACTTCCCCAACTTCAGAGGTAGGTCATCCTTTTTCATCAGCTTCTGCGAGACAGCTTTCGCAGCCAACGCAGCACGTTCCAGGTTCTCCGTTAAGGTACCATCGAGAATGTACTTCTCACGGACCCATTGAAATATACCAGAAAAGCATGCTAGAAGGCGATATAAAAGGTAATCCTTCTGTTCGGAGAATGTACAGTTGTGACGCGTTGATGAAATCGAACAGTCAAAGCGTACTCAGACAGGACTTCGCAGGAATACAACTAGAACAAGGAGGTGCCAGATTTCAATCTTCACAGCCTGCATCTGGGCAACATTCCATTCCACAGCCTGCATCCCCAACGACACCACTCATGCAAAGATGTCTAGTTTCATCTTCTACTAGTACTGCACCACTCGTACAACAAGAACAACAACGTCTAGTTTCATCATCTTCTACGTCTACTGCACCACTCGTACAACAACAGCGTCTAGTAGTTTCATCTTCTGTCCTCCCTGGCGCGTTGGCTGTTCCTATACCTGTTCCTTCGTGGCAGTACAGCCACAATCCCTTGATCATGCAACACCATAGTCTAGCTTCTACTTCTGCTTATCTACATCCTCCTCAATCTCAAGCAGTGCTAGTTGCACCCCAAGCCCAACCGCAGGCACATCAAACCTCTCCAGTCCACCTTGTCCAACCCCTGCAGCAGGTCGCGGAAAGAACCAGTCCAACTTCTAGTACACCAATATTGATTAAGGCTAGGTGTCTATCACTATTTTTCCATGGATGTGGTTGAGTATGCTGAGTGAAGTCCAGTCCCTTGACTTCTTCAAGGGAAAGAAACAAAGGGGGAAACTGACACAGCAGAGCATCTCACTCAGTCCTCAAGGACTATAGTGAGAAACTAGCGTTAAACTGAAAATAGGAGCAGGACCTTATACTTTTCACGCGGCTCAGAGTGCCTCCAGTCAACCCGTAGCACCTACATCCAGAGTCGTTGGTCGAAGCTCTCCGCCACCTTCACCGTTTATCGAATACCGCAGTCTCTAAGCACTTCAGAAGTGGTCATGATTTCCATTTAGATTGTCACGACGGCGCGCACAGGTTCGTGCTGCGTTTTTTCTATTCAATTTCCACTGACTTCTAGGACTGCTTGTAGTTTCATCTTTGACTTGTCGTGCTCGAAGATCAAGATAGATATGAACTTCCACCAATTATACTTAACTACTTCCTGTTCCTTGTATTTTCATCGTAGACTGACACTAAGTAATGCTCGAAGAAGTAGATCGAAATCGAAGATGTCGATTCTGGTCCACGCGTTTCAAATTGATTGCACCTAACCTCCCACATAAATCCTGTAGATGAACTACTAGGAGTGCTTCTTGTTCAGGATCAGGGGTTCTTTTTCTTCGTGTATTAATAGCGTCAAACACTGTAAAGCGAAGAAGCTGACTGTGACTTTCTTTTTCTGTCATGATAAAACCTCCGTTATCCGTGAAAATTAGAGAATAAGACAAAAATATATATCGAAGACCACTCAACATTACTCCTATCTGAGACAACTCAACGTATTCGTATCCATGACAAGAATCCACTAGTACAAGGAAGAACAAACTTGAGTGGTTCCGGTATTTGGTAACCTGAATTTGATCATAAGGGAAAACAAGAAGAGAACCCCTAGGATCAAACTCAGGTTACCAAATACCAGAACCATACAAAACTGGGTATTCCTATTTTGAAGATTCTTTGTAATTGTAAACATTGCTTGATTTTTTGACCTTCTGAATACTAGCAAGCAGCAATCATTGACGTAAAATTGTAGCGAGATTGTTCTCGAAAACACCACCATGATGTCCACGTCAGCTCTGGCATGGTTTCGGTTGCCTTTGTTACGTGTTTTCATTCATCGCCCCGTCAAGTGAGACTCTTCGAGAAGTGTTCTGGGGAGGTCTGGTTGATACCTGAATATTTTTTCGTGTCCCAAGTTTTGTTGTACACAATGACGATCGTATTGCAGGAACATGATTCCCGGATACTGCTAGCCGGTTTGGGATTAGGTAAGACTGAGGACGATATGCATATATCTAGTAGTTACTCCTCCGACCGCGCTCGTGTGATAGTAGTCACTTGCGGTATCTTATCATATGTTAAGAAAGTAAGTCGTCGTTCTGGTCCTCTATGTCCATGGGCGTCTGTCCTCGTCCATGTTCTTAAATGTCATCTTCATCATCAAGATGGAGGACGCTTTCGCACGGAGGCAAAAAAAATACTAGAACTAGAAGTGCTAGAACTGCATCAAGAACTAGTACCAATGAATGAATGAAGAACGGCTGCATCAATCACTACTACAACAAGGACTGCGAGGCTTCGAGCGATAAGACCACGAAGTAAGCAAGAAAATCATCTTTATCGGACGCTTATCAATAACGAAAACAACCTTGATTTTCTTCTCTGCCCTCGTCTCCGTCTCGGTCTCCAGCACGTAATCGCCTTTATCCAAGTTTTATGTCTACTTGAATTTCTACCTGCCTACTACGATAAGTGGAGGAAGCACGAGTTCCGTATTTTTCCGCCAGGTTCTACGAACGCCTTCCTAGTTCCAGATGACTTGCGTGGTCGCATCCAGCCTTTCCCAGCAACATCGGATGTGTTTTTCTACAACAAAGTCCTCTAGTATCTCTCTGCTTTCAACATCAGAGAAATTCGTAGAACTCAGAAGAGACTCAGGGAAGTCGTAGGTCCAATCCGAACCAACTAACATCGTCAGCAAATAACTCGCTGCATTCAGCAGCAGACTCAAAGACAAACTACCTAAAAAGAAGAACTGTTTCGCCAATGGAAATGGTGATCCGAAATTTCAAAACACGCCTGCAATAAGATGTAGCTAGGTACCAAAGCTCGGCGGTTCGAAGTACTAGACCGAGGGGTTCATGACAGAATGACAATGATCTTGAGAGTGTACTAGAATGCCCTTGAGAAAATCTCGTATGCTGGTGACTGATCGGTTCTCAAAATGGAGTTGATGTCGTGAGAAGGCGGGCAAGCCACGCCAGTGCAGAAAAAGGAATTGTCAGAAGCGCTGAGTGACGAGAAAGTTGCGAATATTGAAGCAGGAGTCAATGACCTGTCGTCGAGTAGAGAGAATCTTTATTCACCCCGGGCGCTGGACCCAGTGACTGCAAGAGTGAAGAATCCTAGAAGTTGATCATTTTAGTGCTGATCCGTGAGCAGATCCTGGCATGATTTGGAGACGGTCTGCTTCAATGAATCGGCCATTCTTTCCTGTAAGTATTTTTGTTACAACATTTTTTTAAGCATTATATATAAGTACTTCTTTTTGTAATTGTAACTAGGTAGTGTACTAGCTAGGTTTTGTGAAGAACAAGAACTATGCCCGCTACAAGGCAATACAAGGGTTTCATTTTTGCTTGAGCTCCTCAGTTGGGCGAGGACAACTCACTCTCCTACACGACTTTCTTGTTTAACCTGCTGAAATAAACCCTTCGTTCTCTTCAAGAAGACGCCTCATCTGGTTCTTACGAGCTACGACTACGCCTCATCTGGTTCTTACGAGCTACGACTACGCCTCATCTGGTTCTTACGAGCTACGACTTCAGCGACGATGGGAAGAGAAGCACGAACTACAACAGGTCATCTTGCAGTGTCTTGTTTGGTTGGTGGATCACGGACCATCCTACTAGTACCAAAAGCTGTTCTAGGAACAACCACCACAGCCACGCTGCTTCTAGTTCTATTTGGAGGATTCTTTACCGGAGAAATAACGCCCGCATATGGACGAGCTTCGTATCTGACAGGAGGCCCCTCGTCCGGACCAAATGTAGAAGACCACGACCATGTAGTACTAGCAACGCTTGATGCGGATGGTACAGAGGCTACAGAACCAACTGTCGAAGACGAGGACGATGAGCCGTCTAGTGCTGCTGTTACAACAACCTCGCAAGTAGATGCACATCAGGGAGTAGAGGAAATACCTTACGGCGTGTCCGGTTTGTGTCATGGGGTGGCGAATGAGCGAGGAGGAAACTGCTGTGGTCCCATCGTAGCACTGTTGTTAAGAATCATTTTCGATAAATTGGCAGATTGCAGCCTCCAATTGAGAGCAGTCAGACTAAGACTGTGAATTAAAGATCCTTAGCTAGTGCTCCTGCCTTGTCAGAACCGCACATAGAAGAACCGAGTAGAGTGGATAATTTCTACTGTTGGTAGTTCTTGTGAGTTGTACGCATTGAGTTGTAGAAGAAAGAGAAGAACCGCGTGCGAGTGAGTCTATCACAGAAGATCAGCGCTCTTCTATTTATCACAAATCAGATTTCTTCTAATCTTAGGCGCACGCTGTGCCGCATCGGGGATTACATTGGCTTCAGGGAGGACTCGCGGCCGAGGCAGCGCAACGACGCCAGCACAGCAAGTAGCCGTGGAGCACCAGGACCAAGAGGATTTTGCGACCGCTCTAAGTCACCAGAGCCAAGGAGCACCTACTGTGGATTGTCGTAGAAGAGTACGTGCATGCAGAGATCAATCAGATCAATCTCAAGAACAAGGACAAAGACAAAATCAAGGTCAACAACTATCTGTTGTACTACGCAAAGGAGCGCATGACGACCAAGAACATGTTGTTGAGGGTCCAACTTCTACAGAGGTGGCACATCATCCACAAGTTGAAGCTCCTCACCAACATAGAGTGGAGAACAAAAAGAGAGCAGGCCTCATGGACGACAAGAATCACAAAAAATATGGTCAATCTGAGGTTGACATGTACCAGCAGATCCAGACCGAGCAACGCTGGGGCCAAATGTGCCAGATCTTGAAGAATGACGTGGTGCGCGGCCAAGGTTTCCCTCTCTTTTCCGGTATTCTCGTCACTTACTTTAAGACTTGATCCTTGAATCCATATCCATCCTCAAAAGGAATGTTGTAGCATTCGAAATTACTTACTAGTAAGTAAGTAAGAGCAACAGTAAGAGAAAGAGTGTTCATCTTTCCCTTGAAGGGGAAAGTGAAAGGTCCCAGAATCATGAGGATGCTCTTTCAACTGAACTCAAGATAGACAGGTTATGTTAATGGTGAGCTCTAATTACTGGCTTGGTCAAGCCGGGTGCGTCGGAACTGGTGCTTTTGCTCATGGAGTGGTGAAACTTGGAGTCTACCTACCCGTCATCTTTTACGAGAAGAACAGATACACTCGCACTGAAAAAGGTTAAGGTGCTCACTTTCAACGAGAAAGCGACCCGCATCCTAAGTGTGAGTGTATTTTTCTACTTCTCCTTCATGTTTTCCTCTTCTGGTTCATCCGAGCGGCTCTGCTATGGACAGACCCTAAGGCAGCACTACTCGAGGAACAGTTCGCGGCTCTACGCAAGAAGGTGGATCGACTCAAGATCTTGCGCTATCAAATCAAAACTTATGCTCCTGGACGAGCAAAAACACTATAAAACTAGGACTAGTAGTACAGTCTAGTTTGTAGCTTTTCGAAGTCAACTATATTCTGCTCGTTTAGTCCATACTCACGAGGTGTAAGTATCTATCAGTACTACCAATCTAAGAGAAAAAAGTCTCGTGGTTCTTGGTGAAGAAGTAGTAACGCAAGAACAACTACATGAAAGGAGAAGGGCATGAAGAGAAGTCATGCTCCTCATCCATGCCGCATGATCATCTGTCTTCATAATCATATTCTAAATGCTATGGAGAGATGGCTCGCGTGGCTGGTTCGACGCCTTTCTTCTCGAGGAGGACGAAGACGTGCGCACAGGTGAATATTTCGCGCAGCAAGCTCTGCAGCAACTCGTTTGCAGTGCGCCAAGCACAGCCGCATCCAGTGCATCCACGATGGGGGCAACTGGAAGCAACCGAGCGACAGTCAAGGGCGAGGGCGAACCACAACATTAAGAGAGTGGAGTGGCAGTGGTCGCACTTCTAGTGTGCTAGTATTATAAGTACTACTTACTGCCCACTGAAACTGAGACAGAGACTGACACTGATGTAAGTCAAAGTCATGTCTGGAAAATTATATAAGTCAGTTTCTCGAATAGTTCTTGTAGTACGTGGCTGTCAGTGTGGAGGCTGTGGACGAAGATCTGGATTCCTTATTTTCAGCGTAAAACTGGGACGAATGGCTAAAGCATCTACATCTAATCATAAGAGCCAAGAAGTTGCACGAGTACAGGTGGCCCAGACGTGGTCGAAAGTGGAGGTACTTCGGACGCGGACGCGGAGGCAGGCGGAGCTGGGTGTGGTGCGTGGCGTCCTGGTGAATGGTGTGCAGGACCTACAGGCTCGCACCAGCCGACGGAGCCCACTGTGGCCACGACAACTCACGTCTTTGGAGAACAAGAGGATGGCAGTTCCAGATCTCCGTTTCGAACGGCCGTTGTGTACACGGCTGGTGAGTTTGATAATGTTGTAGTAGCTGCAGACGGAGGTAGTCGCGACGGGCGACACAATGAATCAGGAGGTCGTGATTTAGCTGCAGGTGACAGGAGTATTAAGGGTAGGTTAAAGGTGCTTTTCTTACCGCTTTTTATGCCTCTCCTAAGGGAGAAAGGCATAAAAAGCGGGGTAAGCAAGCACCAAAAACCTACCTCTAAGAGTACCAAGAGGACACATAGAGCAGGAGGTGCTTCGAGTTCGACAGGACCACATCAGAGTAACAACAACAAGAATGCTTCGGGGAAGAGCCTGTTCGGCGGAAGGAGTGCACTCTTTCTTGCGCGTACCAAATCGAAACTGTCTGTTGGAGCCGGGGCTGGCGCGTCTTTGAGATTATGTTCACATGTTATTGAAGATAAATTCTTTTTCTTGTTCAATGCTCATGTAATAAATCTTAATGTGATGTTGAAAGTACAACAACTTGTTTACAAGGGCGTGCGAGTCGTTGTCGACGAATCATTCGAATAGAAGACAAGTAAGTATCTTAGGCTTGTTATGTGGCTGTGACTGTCTCTGACAGTCAACACAGTCAGCACAATAATCCACCTACAATGAAATATCTTGTTCTTCAAAGCACTCTTTCTCTTCTAACCTTAGGGAGGAACGAGGACGACACTGGCAAAATGCGGAGGAGCCATTTTGACGATTTGCGACATGTAAGGGAGTTGAGGCGCAGCCGTAAACAATTGCAGCAAAGCCGTGGCCAGAACCGTTTGTCACCAAAAAGTGCTTTGCGACTTAGATACACAAGATCTGACATAGGTAGTGCAGCTTCTTCGGCAACGGCACTTGCACTAGAAGAAAGGAGGCTTGGTAGAGTTGGGTCAGGAGCAAAAGGCGCAGCAGAGGCTGCTGGAAGTACATTAACATTTACAACATTTCTAAGTCTGTTAAACTTAAATAGAATACCTTTACGTACTCCCTATCAAAATCAATATTCAACATGAAAGTATAAGATGAACCTATATCCCCATTGTGCTTACCACGCAAGTGTACTTCTCATTATCTTGTAAGGAAGGTACATGCTTAGGCAAGGCATCGCTCGTCTTGATCATCCAACAATGTACATGATAGGTTTAACATCTCATGCAGCCCCCGAGCGGTCTTCCTCTTCCTCCTCTGGAGGGCCTTTGGTGTATTCTGCTGGAGCGTTGGTCACAAGCCAAAGCCAAGAGGAGCCTATGGTTGTTAAGGCTTCCTTCAGTGCATTTTGAGAATGAGAAGCATCCTTCTGGAGAGGCTTCTCAAGAGGAATCTCAAGATGGACCAGGTTTTTAGGTCGAGGTCTAATATTGGAGGTGGGGGTATCAAGGAGGACGAGCAGGACCACTTAGATTTAGGCCACGAGGAACCTTGTTCCAACATGGGCCCTAGCACGGCTCTTTTGCGCTTACAGAGGAAGAGTCGGAGTGCGGCACTGGCACAACTAGAAACGTTTCGAGGACAGGCAGAATCGCTAGCAGCGTTGCTCACTGCGCACTTATGAACAAGGGTCTTGGACCCTTTCTGTAGTGTAGATCTATGGTATAAATAAAATGTAGAACAAGTAGTGGCAAAAATACACGAATCCGATGAAAAACAAGTTGAAGTTCAAGTACCTACTACTTTCGAGAAGAAGGAACTCAAGATCAATAATCTCTGACTCTAGTAGAAAACGAAGAACTTCTCAACTTTATCATTCAGGAAGATCAAGAAGATCTTTACTACTTCATCACCTGCTTCATAATCTGACACGTTAGCAGACGAGGTAAAACGAGATTTCCGATTATTGTTATCTCTTGCGTCAGAAGCCCGTAGCCGTAGTTGCCAGGAAACCCTGCTAGAAACCCTGTTGGAGTTAAGGCTTCCCCTATAGTGGAGGTGCATCTACTTCAGAGAAGCACGGCATCCTAGGAGAGGGAGAGAGACGTTTTCAAGGGGAAAACGGATTCAGGATGGTCCTCAGGATGAATAAGGGTGAGCCCTAATAGAAGAAGGCGACGAAGATTCCCTTCGCGCAGAGATGCTGCAAAGACGAAGAGAGCACTTTCAAGGAATCCAACACGAAAATACCTCTGGAGGCAAACAAGAACAGACATCAGGAGCACCACTTTTACATGGTCGGGCCCGCTCCACCACGACGAGAGGCGCCGCTTCTACAGTGACGCCGCATTTTGGAGCTGAGTTGTCTCGAACAGGTAGTAGGGCGAGCAGTACTTCTGTTTTCAGTGGGGGCGCAAGTACTATGTTTATGAACGTCACGGTTTTTGTTTGACAGCACGAGTAGATGGCGCACGCGCTTCGGCGTCGTCCATTGCTCACACAATTTGCTTAAAGATGCTGGATATCTTCATCTAGTAAATCATGAACAAGCACTGGAAGTAACTATGAGTCACTATACCAACAAGAAGAAGAAACAGAAAGACATGAAGTAGAAGAAAGACGCCTCTCTTCTAATCTCCATGGCAAGCCGGCGCCGCGCACACCCACGGGTTCCTCCGTTGCGTCGTCGTCAGTCTGCATCGATCAGCACATCCTTCCGGATCCGGCCCCTGAAGGAGACATAGATTAAGCCCCCTTCCCTAAACCCTAATCCATCAATCTTGAGAGACATCCTGAGAGTCCTCTTCAAGGGCATCAAACGGCACCTCCCAGGATGGAGGTGGACGTGGACCTCGCGATGATTAGTGCGAAGAACTCTAAATAGAACTCGGTCGTTTCTTCGCAGGTTCCTCGCAGTTGGCTAGTGGACAACAAGCAGATAATGTTCTCGCCTTGGAAGAGGCGGAAGAGATGAGTGAGGGTAACAGTTTTTTGCTGGACCTCGCTGCTCAGCGGTGCAGGCAAGTGAAAACAAGGACTCAAGTTTGCAACGTGGTTCTTGCGATTCTGCGGCTCATATTTTGTCTGCCTGCTTGTGGAGACGCGCAGGGGGCTAATGCCTGTGGATGCTGCGCCTGTGGTGTACCTTCCTTTAAGGCTTTCTCCTTTAAGCGCTAGTAACACTGAATAAGAGCACTAAAAACAAGTAATACGTGTTCAACTAGAAAAAACAAGAATAAGAGGAGAGCTAAAAACAAGAAACGTCAAAAGCTTGATCCGATCACTACCCATCATTTACAGTTTAAAGGAAATGGGTCTCAACAAGTAGATGTTGGATGTCTAATTGCTGTTGCGGAGGATCGAAAGGCTCGTGCTGTCTCGCTAGTTTGTGCTGTCCATGGCGTGCCGGTTGTTGTCGTCGACGTAAACAAGCTGAGACGGATACTGGTGTTAAGGATCATTTGGCGCGTTGAATTAGTTGTTAGAACTGCTCAGGCATAGTAGACCGGTGACAGGCTGTTATGTTGTATGTGTAGATTTTATTACAACTGATCGACTCCATTTTTATTTTTTGCACTTCTAAGAATCATGAAAGCGAAGTGCAAACACAAGTAGAGCAAGGGCGAAGTGGTAGGTGTTGTAACAACAAAAGCAGCAAGTCCTCGAAGTGTTGCTTTCCTTGTTGTCGTAGACGGTCAAGCCGCGACTCAGACTCCGAGGAGTGCGAAAACAGCGATCGTTGCAACCACGCGAAAGAAGTGGAAAGAAGAGGTCAGCCTCCTATTAAGACTAGAAGAAACCCATCTTCACAGGCACCCTGAGACCGTTTTCAAGTAGAGGAAAAAAGGTCCTCGGATGCTTCTCACAATGGATTTCTCTTAGTTCTAATCCTAAGAGTGGCCATGGCCGCGGAGGAAGGTGCGGCGGGCAAACCCTATTGGACGTTTCTCCACTTTATGGGAAGGATATTGTATCTATAGATAATGAGTACGGGCTGATACTATGTAGGTATGTTTTTTAGATTCCTCTCTACTTTGCCACTTTCATTCTTCCGAATTATCGGAGTTATTGTACGAAGGATGTGAGGAGCTCGAGATGTGGGCGGGTCGTGAGGCTGACTTATCGGAGTTGGCGCACTCAAGGGCAGACGAAACCGTGGAAAATCTGCGACAGGCCATGGCACAACTTCAGATCAATGCTCAGTAAGATGGACGATAGAAGGATGACACAGCTTCAGATCAACAGTCGTGGCCAGTAAGATGGTGCGAGAGGCAGGAGAACTACAACAATCACTATGGTCGTTGGATGGATGGCACAGCTTCAGATCAAGAACAAGAATCTGGTCATTATAAGTTAGGAGCAACAACAAATGATAAACATAAAAAACAAGGAGCCAGCAGACAGCATGGAAATGGTATGGCTACGAACAAGATGAAAAATGATCTCAGACCATATAAAACCGGACATGAAATTATAACCGAGTAAGTAGAAGCCTAGAAGTAGAGAATCATCGCAGTCGCAGACATTCTCATTCGGTTACTTGTTGCGTTTGTTACAACTCGCTCTTCCTACATTAAGATCCACTTGTTAGGGTATTCAAGTGGGTCTTTATGTAGGAGGAGCACAAGTACGCAAACAGCGAGATCATTTTTTCCCGTCAAGAAATTCGGGCTCGATGAACATGTTGAAGGCACTCAAGAACGATAGCAGGAGGTGAAAGTAACGCCGACCAGCAGTTGCTGACGTGCCGACTGCATTGCAAAGACAGCATTTCACGCGATCATTGATTCATTCTTGAGAATATTTCTACGAGTACTTAAGAGTTCTTAGTAGAGGGTGCTATCAGACACGGTCCTACAAATCTTAAATTCATCTTGCATCTTTCATACTACTATCGTATCTTCTTGCATAAAATAATATCTATCTTTCATGTTTTTATCTCTTTGGTTAGCACCTTGATTTTGATTAGCAGCACCAAAAGTTAAGGTCGCTATGCATCTTGAGTACTCAGAGAAATTCAAATTCTTGGTTTCCTCCTTTGTTTGTGAAAGACAAAAGCCATATTACTGTCCCTAAATTTTTGTCATGAACAAGTACGCATTGCCATTCACATGAACATGATGAGACAGAGTATTTCTGCGTTATTTTCTATGTAGTTTTTAGAGGGCTCAATCAGATGAAATAGGTCAGGACTGCACATCGGCCATCTTCAACGTGTGTCTTTACCCTTGGTACATCTTTCGACCAAGAAAGTACGTCACAAAAAATGAGTCACAACATCAACAGAGGATGAATCAAAGCAGCGCGCCTTGAAAAGAATGCTCATGAGAAGTTCCCCCATTGCAAATGTCAAACCTCTGGTAATCGTTCCTTAGCGAAAATCGGTGTGAAGCTTTATCATACGAGAAATATAGTGCCTAGTAGGCCTACACTAACCTGTCTAGATTCTAACCCCACAAGGTGTACGTCAGTACAAATACACAAAACTACAGCAAGCAGCTTGAGCTTTTATTTCATCAAGTAAAGAACTCGTGTCGCTATGAAGTTGAAAAAGTCAATGTCACAAACTATGTATAAGGATGTCATCAACTTCAACTTGAAAGCTTTTCGGAGGACGATATGAAAATTGTGTTGAGCAGTACTAATACTAACTGTAACAACTGACATCTTTAAAATTGACATCATAATTTAAGATCAACCACCATGTCGCAACCCTTCGGTAGTGGAGAACATGGCTGGAACACTGGTTTATTTTCTAGTGGGGGTGGTGGTGGTCAAGGCGAAAACAACGAACAGCACCATGTTCCGAATTTGGAACAGGGTTTGATGATGCATTTCAACAATCAAGAGTCCTCGTCTGCATTCCAGCAGCCAACGCAGGGCGACGCAAATTTCGCTGCGAGGAATCCATATGCAGTTCTTGCAAATGGTTCAGCTGCTTCTCCTGCTGGAACTGGATTCGGCCTTGACGGCTTGAACCCCTATGCAGTTACTGGAAGCGCGTCTTCTAGTTTTGGAACTGCAGGAGCAACAACTGGATGGCATATGAATTATGCCGCTCCACCCCTGGCGACAAGGACAACTACGATTTTTACGAATAACTCTACTGCGTCAACAAGTAGTGCAGCTGGTCTCGGTGGAACTTCAGGGGGCTCATGCATGTGGAGTAATGGTAATGGTAACCCTACACCAAATCCTGTTGCCATTGGCAGTAGAAGTGGCACTCTTTCATCTGGGAGCGCAGGCAGCTCCGGTTTTTGTGAACAGCGGAATCAGCTGATTGGGGGTTCCACTCCTGCTGCTTCGTCGAACAACTTCGCTCCATTCATCTCTACAAGAGATGCGCGAAACCAGCAGTCTACTATGACAGGGCAGCAGCAACAACAACACCAGTCAGCTGCCACGAACTTCAACAATGTTACATCCACTAGCGCGGCACAGGTTCAGGCACATGCAGTTCTGTCATCTAGTAACAACATGTCAGCTTTTGGGGCTGCAGCGGGAGGCTTTGGCCGCCAGCCTGATGTCAACCACCCTGCTCTGCGATCGGAGGCACAATCTGTTGCTGTTGCGCAAAGACTTGCGTCGCAACCTCTACCCCCAAACTCTCAAGATTCGAGTACTTTTAACATAGGTCCTGGCGGTTTTCGAACCCCGCAGCCCACAGATATTCCGTATGGCTTTGGCGGCGCTGCGTCTCAACAACACTGTCATTCGCAGACCCAACAGACCCAACCACAAGCTTCTGTCGGCACTGGGTTGCAGTTTAGCCAACCTGCACTGCAGCTTAGCCAGGAGAATAGCCAACCAAGTGTGAGGAACAATATGAACATCGCTGGTTCTGGTCAACAGCAAAGGAATCCTTCGCTTCCGTGCCGGTTTTCATCCACGTCTCAGAACTTTTCTCAAGTAGTTCAACCACATCCACACCTACAACAGAACTTGCAAACTAAACAAGATGACCACCGAACAAGCACACACAGTACTGGCACTGCTCCTGTCGGGTTTTCAGGCTCATTTGGCGCTCCACTCCAGATTCCTAACAGTGGCAGTCAGTTTTCTCAACAGGGCAGCCAGGGAGCAGCCTCTCTTAATGTCGTAAACAACTCGAGCACTAGCAGCAGCAACACTTTTAGCGGTTCTCACCACGAAAGTGCAGGTCTGCAGAGACATCCGCCGCAAACCGTGATGTTTAAATCGCCCGCGTCCATGATACACAACGCGACAAATCATCCTGTGGTGCCTGGAACAGGTACTAGCGGAAGCACTAGTTCTAGTGTCCCTGGCTCGTCCGCAGCAGCTCCATTTGATCATAGCAGAACCTTGCGTCAGGACTACACTCCACTATTTCCTGTGAGCAACCTGTTCAACGCGACATCAAATAATACTACAACAACAGCAGGCCCAGGCGGGGCGTCTACTTTTATAAGTGGTGTTGGACATCACCAGAATCATCAACAGCAACCGCAGGGACAGGGGCAAAGAGCTTCTGCTCCTGTTGCTCCAGCATCAAATCCGTACCACCAGGCGAAGCCCGCTTCCGTTGCTCCACTTTCAGGGAATCCATATCACAAAGCAGCGCCACCCGCGATTGGTGCAGCTGCAGCTGCTGCCCTTGCTCATCAGCCGCATCCGTACTACCACAAAGCACCTCAACTTCAAGCAATTGGTGCACCACTGGTAGATTTTCCACCTTTCCAGCCAGGCGCAACAAGGTCTCCTATCTTCGGTTGCACCGAAGCAGAGGCTGACTGGGCGCTCGAGAAAAAATACATAAGCGACTGGGAACGCAACCAGTTTGTCAAAAGCAACTTTGATCGCGATCCGAGTCGAATTACAGAAAAGCAACGACCCATTGTTGACAGAATTAAGCAAAAGGTTGACAGAGCCCTAGCACAGATCAACAGGAATCGCGGGCAAGCTGTAAGTGGTGGAACGGTAACGGGACAAGTTGCAGGTGGCCCTGGCATGGTCACCGTCGCAGGAGCATTTAGTAAATATCCTCCGACCCAAACACCTTCCAGCTTGATGTCTTCGTCCAGTCCTGCTCCTGCAACCACGGCGGGAGCAACAGCTCCTCCAACCCTCGCATCACCAGTACCACCAGTATCACATCAAACATCTTCTACTATGGTACTAGCACCAGTACTACAACATCAAAGAGCCCAAAGTTGTTCTGTTGTATCAAACACTTCATCTATTTTCGAGTTAACGGCTCCTTTTGCGACAGAAACGGACGAGGACCAGGACGAAGAATGCTGGTTCGCCCAGTTCTACACTCAGTTGTTATGTTAGACATGCTTTTTGCATAAAAGTTGGAAGTTCAGATATACTTATAGTCATAGTTGTGAAAGTCTAATCTTCTGTGGCGCAAAAGCTCAGCGTGAGAAGACTGGGCGTGACGACCTCGCAAGGGATGGCGATCTGATTATTTTGCGCGGGAAAGAAGGTGAAAATAGTGCCGGTGAGAAGGTAGGAAACTTCCCGAAGGAAATCAACAGCGAACTACAAAGTCTTGGGGACATTCCCGGAATCCGACTCGAGGCGCAAGTTCGGAAGCGTTGGCCTGGCGATGACGTTCTCAAGACGGCCAATTTGCCAGTGCTGATCCAGTTAAGGTTCCCACTTGTAAAAGTGCACCGTTAATTCCACTCAACATAGGATGAATTAGGACAAGAGGAAAAAGTATCTTATTCTTTTTACTACACACAGGCGATGAATGTTTGAGTCCGAGCAGTCAAGACCTCTTCTATTTCTTCTAAGTAGTAGTAGTATCACTATCAGCACTATCATCTAATCTGAGTTTTCTACACAGCGGAGGACGACCTCTCCACTCGCCAAGGCCGCCGAAAGAACCGAGAAACGGTGAATAAGATCCGGCAGTTGGTGACCAAAATTAGTCAAACAAAATGCCAATTTGCTCAGCTTGACTGTGTACTGCCAACAGCTTCAACTTCATCTTGTTCACCTTCTAGTTCTAGTAGTACTATGGTGCTTGTCCCTGCTGCCGCATCAATGAACTGCGTCCGCGTTTCTGAGCTGGGGTTGAAAGCATGGCGCAAGTACTGTGGCTGTAGTGTGTCGACTTCGAAAAAGCCGATTCCTGATTTTGTGACGCAAAATGGCGAAGAGCCTGTGCGCGAACCACGTTCCAGCCAAGCAGATGCGGAGGAGTCATCTTCTGCGTCGCCCGGAACACAACCACAGCGTCAAGACGTAATAAGCCTCCATCATTTTCCAGAAGTAGTAGATGAAATTGAAGATGAAAGCAGTCAAGAGAACGATGACGACGACGAGCAACAAGTCGAGCAGCCAGTGACCAGCAGGTCTTTCTCTTCATTTGGAGATGAAGGCAGCGGTAGAACTGATTTTTCCTCCGGTGCCGGTAGGGGTGGTAGCAGTTCATCATCGTCTTCGGCTAGGCAGAACATTCCTGCGCCCGTGCCTCGGCAGTTTCCTCGTTTGTTAAGGCCTCACTTTTACCCACTAACCAGTCCTTCGTCCTGCTGCTGATCAGGAGCTTCAAATTCAATCAAGAGCTTTAAACTAAAGTTGTTCGTTCCAAACAATAACAAAGAATAAGAAAAAATCAAACATATAAATCTAACTGAAGATTCGAATTATATGCGTCTCCTGAGTGTAGGATGGACTTCAGAGTCCGTTCTTGTACACTCTAAGTTTAGCTCAACATCCGCCAGCTGAAGACGTTTGGCACGATGATGAACCTTTCGAAAATATCCTACGACGTATAAGAATGCAAGAATCTTCGAGCAGTAGCACACAGCGAGTCGTCACGACAAGCAGAAATGGCGACACTCTTCGCCATCAGAGCGCACAGAGACATGATCTTCAAGACCGCAGCACGGGAGGCAACGTAGCAGCCCACATTCCTTCTGCTGGTGTTATGCGGGGATTTGACTATGCTGGTGCCAGCAGTAGTAGTCGAGTAAAACGACCTGCAGAGCAAGATGAACAACATCACCAACCACAGGCGCAACCACAAAGTGGTGCTAGAGCGCCGCAGGTAAAAATTGAGCAGGATCACCATTCCAGATCAACAAAGGAGAACATGCAAGACCTGCTAGGCAAATTTTTTCGTCCCAGCGTGGACTACGAAAGCATGCCTTACGAAGATATCCCACAAGACCTGCTTCCCGGTATTAGGCTCTACGAGCACCAGCGCAAAGCGGTTCATTGGATGAAAGGCAAAGAAGCTGGAAGCGCTGAAGAAAATGCAAAGTGGGGACGGGTCCTCGAGAGTCTCAACGTCCAGCGTGCGGAGCTGCCAAAAGGTGGCATATTCGCGGACGATATGTTAAGGCTGCTCGCAATGTCTTCAGTGGGGTTCTCAAGTGAGTGTAGATTCTAGCGCGGTGGATGAGTAGTAGCTGATCGCGTCCTCGCTTGGAACAAGTGGCTTCTCCTTGTTCTCATGCTTATACTTGGTTGTGGTGACACTCTTCACATGATACACACTCTAACACACGGGCTGGGAAAAACCTTGACGTTGCTAGCTCTCGTCGCGAGTCAGGACGAAGAGAAGAGTGGCCGTCTTACCGTCATTGTGGTGCAGAAGAACATGCTGTCGACGTGGGAGGAAGAAGTGAGTGAGCGACTATCCTGTGGCGCAGCAAAGCCGAAGTTTGAACTCTTTATCGAGCACGACAACAAGAAAGCGCCTAGAGATGGGCGCAAATATCGCAAGAACTCCATCATTCTCACGACATACGAAACGTACGCTCATCGGGATGACCTCCAACAGTTCCTAGCCAAGGAGCGGAACAAGCCTCACCGAGTAATCCTCGACGAGGCGCACAAGCTCGGAAACCGCACCACAAGCATCTCAAAGACCATCGGCAACTTAAACTTAAGGCTAAACTTCTGACTACAACTCGCATTGCTTCCACCTTTTATTGACTACTGCTCACTACTAAGTCTCAGAGTCAGTGTGGTTTCAAGAGTAGCAGCATTTTATTGACTACTGCTCACTACTAAGTCTCAGAGTCAGTGTGGTTTCAAGAGTATTCTCATCCTCCATTGGTGAAGCATTTCAAAGGGAGGACAGGCTACTTTATGATGCTCGATGAAACCACGACCCAGACGAGGTGGCAATTGCAACTTGTACTGTTACTGATGGAAATTCTAACAGACGCGACTTGCAAGTGGGCCGTCAGTGGCACTCCCATGCGAAACAAAGTGGAAGAAATCTTCGGCATTCTCCGTTTCCTGCGGCTCAAGCCTCTAGATGACTACGATTGGTTCCACAGGCTGCTTGGTCGTACCATCACGGCCCGAACTCAGCAGCAACATGCGATCGATGCGTTGGCCAAGCTTCTACAGTTGATCATGCTGCGCCGAAAAAAGGACCAGGAGATCACAAGAAACGGACAAAAAGTCAAACTTTGCGGATTTGAGAAGGTCGTTATGACTTGTCGGGTACCGATGGACGAGCAGCAGGAGAGCGCCTACAGGAAGCTCCTCGCTTTAGCCCGAGATGGAAGCAAACGATGCGAGGCGGAAAAGAAGGCGAAGAGCCGAGTGTAATCATTTATTTAGCTATGACCTCTTAGGAAGTGGCGAACAATGCTGTGAGCTTCTCAGCATCATGATCAAGTTCGTGAAAGTCAATTCTTTACACTCTTCGGCTAAAAATGTTATTCTATCTACTGTATGTTGCAGGAGAAGTCTGCTCGAGACACACCGTCACCAAGCGCTACTAACTTGATGTACTACGTAAACAGACATCACAACATGATGGCAACAAAAACGGAGTGAAGCAGATAGTCACCATCATCTCCCTCTTGATCCTCACCATAGTACCTATTGAGAAATCAAATCAAACACAGGTCTCCTGACTCAACATCTGCTGTAGCTGGTCCTTCGCACCTTGGGAACCAAATGACCATGCTGCAGCGGCTTCGGCAGGTGTGCCAGAGCGAAAAAATGCTGCCCCCCGAGCTCCTGCAGTACTTGCGAGACACACCCGACGAAGCAATAGATCTAGACCAGGTAGAAGACATCTTTGTGAAATTCGGTCAACGAGAACGATTCTGGCTGGAACTTTTTGCAGATAGAGAGGAATGCCCCATCTGCCTGGAAGCATTTGATGACGAGACCCGTTGCCCGGCGGTGACAGAGTGCGGGCACGTTTTTTGTTCGGACTGCATCTTGACAAAGTACACCCAGCACACTTGTCCGGAGTGCCGGCACCCACTGGACAAGAAAAAGATCAAGAAGCGACCTAGTGACTATGCAGGACAACTGAAAGCGTACGAAGAGAAGAAAAGCCGAGGTCGCCGTAGAAGCAATAGTGGTCCATCGGCTGCTGCGGACGAAGCTGCAGAAGACGAAGCTGCAGAAGATGTCGATATAGTCGTGGATGCTAAAACGCGTACCGTGGCCGAGCTACTCCACGCAAAGTTCGGAGAGCGCATGAAGCTCCGCTCATCTTTGACAGACGGCTCGTCGACTCAGCCTAGTACCGCCAGCGTACTTGGTAAAAACGATCTTGGCTCCAGGGACGGCAAAGTCATTATTTTCAGCGAGTGGCGCGACCAGATAAAGGCTATGCAAGCTGCGCTGTTCCCGTCCGAGGATATTGACGATCAGTGCGCGACTCTAGATGGAAGCCTGTCCATCAAAGAGCGAAAAAACGTGGTCAAGAACTTCCAACAAGAAAACGCTGGCCCCCTGGTGCTTTTCGCAACGAGGACGGCTGGAGCGTTTGGCTATGAGTGTCGTAGATGTAGTAGCCCAGTACTTGACTGATGTGCTAGATGTAGCAGTATTAGAAAACAAGAAAGAAAGTAGAATATAGAAGCATCTACCAGGATCGTATCTCGAACTCGAAGTTACACCATTTTACAAAGAAGAAAACAAGAACAAAGAGTTGGACTATCGCTAACCTAAGCGAGCTTCTCTGCCATGCAAATACAAGAGCACTAACTTTAGCACTCCCTTTGACGTTCCACGTACGCCTCTAATTTGCGCTTACTTTGACCGCCGCGGACTGCGTAGTCTTGCTTCATCCGTTTTGGAATGAGGCCGACGAGTCGCAGGCCTTCGATCGCGTTTGCAGGCTGGGCTCGCGCTTCTCTACGGTTTACCTGATGAAAATGGTCGCAGCCTTGCGAGATTCGCCGCCGAGCAGATCACACTCAGAGGATGGCAGAAGTAAGTGCGAAACTGTGGAGGCTTGGATGGTGGAGAAGCAACGAGAGAAGAAGGCTGCTATCCAAAAAGGAATGGGCGAGAAGATGACTGCGGCTGCGGGTCAGAACAAGCTGAATGTTGCCGATTTTTTGGCCTCGTCTTGCTCTCTAAAGCGTCCCGAGAACTCGACGGAGAGCACCAATACCAAGCGCAGGCGCGTCGGAGGATGAAGGTGACCCACTGCGGGCTTCGCAATTAATGATCAGCTTCATCGCGTCACTCGTCAGCGCTAACGAGCTGATATTAGTACCTACTTGGCCGTAGTTTTTTCATTTGCTGTAGCGTCGATGTATTCGCTTATCGGAGATCCTACTTCGTTTTTTATTCCTGAAAGACGAATCATCCGCATCGTTCCTCCGCATCCCCAGCCCCATCCACCGCATGATACACAACACAGTTTTATGACTGTTTTTCGTCGAATTCAATACAGGCTTCAGTAAGATAATATGATCTCGAAAAAAAGAGGCTCTGAAAACTTACAGTGAAGAAATAATAAGGATTGTCGTGAAGAGGACAAGAGTCGGCTCCTGCTCTTCTTGTGTTAGTACTTCGTCGACGAGTGCACATCATCATGAAGCAACCATGCGTGTTCGATGGAAGTTAGGCTGGCAGTATGTTCGTTGCAAGCAATTCGTATGTTCCAAGACCATCCGGTAAAGCCATAGTCTTAGCCCGTGACCACAAGAGTTCCTGCAGATCTTGCGCAACTACCTTTCTTGCATGCACGCTACAAATCGAAGGTTTTTTTTTTCAGGCAAGACCGTACGAAAAAATACTATCGGAAATATGATATACTGCACCAGCGACCTTCTGTTCTTCTGACCTCCACTGACACTGCCGCTGTGAGAAATACAATGATCAATTCTTCAACAGCACATCCCATTTGCGTCCCTCTCGCACCAGATCTCTGAAGATTTCTTCTACCCCTCGCATCCTTGGCAACAGCCCTAAACATCGTGTCAAGTCAAATTCCACGGCTTCCTCAACACTATCTCCATTTCTACGACAACAAGCCTCCACTTCACTCATCTCGGGATAAACCTTCCGCATCGAAGCAAACAGCTCGCTCCAGTGATAGGCTTTTGCAATTTTACTGCTGCGCTTAGGTTCATTTCCACCTCCAGGTTCAGCCCCTTCTACCCATTCATCTTTTCGTCCTTCTTCATTACCACAACCCGCAACACACAGATATCGCCCACTTGCATCATCCCTCTCCAAGACTGCCACATGCATCGCTGCACAGTCACGCACGTCAACCAGCGTCATGAAACCGTTGCTCGCAGAGAGCTTTCCGTCTTTGTTGAGTGTAACAGCATTCAAGGCATCCGAGAGTCGCCTCACCGGTTTTTCCCCACTCCTTCTAGTTTCCTCAGCTATGTTGTTCTCGTTGCACGACCCTTCTTGTCTTCTGCTCGACGCTGAAATCGCAAACAGGTCGAGCCACATAGCGTTGGTCGCACTCAGAAATCTCTTTTTTTCTAGATTGTCGAAGTGGAAGTTGTTAGAAGTAGTGCTGGCGTCGATTATAGTCTCCACTGTCCCCGCAGCTGGACCCACTACACTCGTCGGACATATTGCAACTGCACGTAGCGATCCGTTTGCCTTCCCAGAGGCATTTTCAGCCTCCACCCATTGCCAAAATAGCTTTTCTTGTGCTGTCTTGCATGCATCGTAAAAGGCCCAGGAACTCTTTGCTGACACTTGTTGACTTTCGTCACTCCAACAAGACTCGTCTAAGATCCGAGGACGAGGCACAGGCGAAATTGCAGAGATACTGCTCGTTAGGATAAACACGAATAGTTGGTGGTGATTAGCGAGCAGAGGGAGACTGGGTCTGTTACTGATGATAATTGCTTCTTCAACTGATCATGATAAGGCGATCCTTTTCCTTCTGGTCTTTGGTGACGACCGACAAGACACTGTCATGAACAATTTGCTCCTTTTTGATATTGAAGATACTTATTCATAGCAAGCTATTTATATTACCCATAATTCTATTAACCCTTCTCCTGGATCTATTAACTGCGTCCAAAATCTCGCGAAGACCGGCTAATCCAGGCTCGTAAATATCCTGCTTCCCATCTTGAGGAAAAATCTTCACAGGCGTTGCCGTATGAATCACTGCACTACAACCTTCCAAGGCCGCGTCAAAAACAGACGTTGTGCCTCCACATGCGGTTGATGTGGACGTGGAGAGTGTTGTTGATAAATAAGATTGTTCAAGTTCAGCTTTTCCTATTTCCTCTTCATGTTCGTTCTGACCTCCATGATGAGCGCCGACTTCATTTTGCTCAACAATACTACCACCCCCACGTCTTGCTGCGGTTCTCGCAATGTCACCAGTTGAGAACAAACGCAATTTTGAATTTGATCTTTCTCCACGAGGCCTAGCTGTCCCTGTCTGGCTTCCACTGGTCGCCCTAGTTGTCCTTGTCTGCTCACCGCTGCTATATTCCTCCGCCATCCTGCGCAAATGCCGTGTTTTCTCCAAGTCGTTGGCATCACGGACTGTGGCGTGCACTGTGTACCCTTTCTGTAACAATTGCTCCACTATGTGAGACCCAATAAAACCAGAGGCGCCAGTGACGCATACCGAAGTAGAGTGCCGTATTGGGCTTGAACCTAGTGTCGTGCTCGTGGTGGTGGTAGTTGTAGACATCTTCTTCTTGTTCTTGTCGATTGAGTTGTTGAGTAGACTACCCAATCACGAGAAGTGCACAGCTGCGACAACTATCGGCTACTGTAGCCTAGTACAGAGTCACTCGCTTTTCGCGGCTCCCACATGCTTTTTCGCTCTTTGCAGTTGTACACTTCTTACCTATTTGTTCCGACGACGACAAAGAGTCAATCCCTCCAACTCATCTTGCCCCTCATTGCCTTGTTGTATTTCGTAGACAAGAACGGATCCTGCTTCTTAAAAGTAGATGCGTGCCATGCACTTCGAACTCGTGCCATCTGTGGTAGACAGTAAGGTCAAGCACATTAGCAACTCCAAACCTCACGGCAAATGCAGACACTTAATCTTTCATCTTCGCTTGGAAAGTTTTCCAGCGGAAGTAGGACTACAAATTGTTATTGTTGATGGAGTACTTATAATCATGTAAAATATCTCCGGCGGACATCTGATTTTTCGAACTACTGGAAAAACAATTTTTCAACGATATACCAAGCACGACGAAAGACAAAGAAACAAGAATGCTAAAGCTGATGTTCGGATTCACCATTGTACAACAGGGTCTTTATCGCATCTTCGAATTCCGTACAGCGTCTTTTTCATGCAATCCCATATAGTGTTTTCATCGAAGATTCTGGTGGCCAGTTGATGTTCATCATTCCTGTGGTAGATCCCAGTTTTAACCCAGTGGCGTCTGCCGGGATAAGCAGTTCGGACCGGACTGCTTCCGTCTGGAATTTAGAAGTAGAAGTAGAGCATGTTACCACGACAAGGAGAAGTCGAGCATCTTCACTGGTGAGCGCCGACATTGTAGAGCATACTTAACCATATTAAGTTCACAAGTAATTCACAACTGCCTTCTAGTTCTAGGAGATAAACTAAATTTACTACAACGCCCTTGGCTGGCGGTGGGTCTTGAACTTGAAGCCCTTGTAAATAAATTGATGGTTCACCAGCAGCTCAATAAGAGTGAAAAATATCAAGAATTCTAGATGCCTTAACAATGACGCGATTGATATTCCGACTGACGCTACGGGCTGGATTCGGACAGGGGCCACAGGGTGGCATTTTGATGTTATCCTTCAAGAACATGCCCATCGCCTGCAAAAGACTGAAGCCTTTCATGACGCCATCTTTTAAGAGCGGACTTCCACTTACAACCTCGTTCGGAGAAGCTTCGTCACTGCCTGGTCCTGCTGTTCCAGTTGTAGAAACCCCTGTTCCTGTAGGTTGATGCTCGGTAGGAGGACAACTCTCTTCACGCTCAGGTACAGGTTTACCACGACAAGGCCCGAATAGCAGATATTCATCCGCCTTCCCCAGAAGGTCAATCCCCGCTTGCTCCAAGACTCCTCCTTTTGCTGCAGTAGTGATCTTTTCTGCTAATTCTGAATGCAAAGCATCTAAAAAGTCTTGTTGTTCGGCAGAAGGTGCTGTGGTTGTGCTTGCTTCTTTATCGGGCGTAGACACCAATGCTTTTCGTGCTTTCGCGAAATTGAAAATGTCTAGCCAACGCACCCCCACGAGTTGTTCGTCTGTGAAATAGATTAATCTATCTGCTGTCCACCCGAACGCGTAGGGGATGTTACTGTTACCCATCGGCGTCACGAAGCCTAAAATCCGTTCTCCCTTTTTTTCGAAACGAACGAGCCGCAATCCAGGATCGCCAGCGACGATCCTTAGAAAGAAGCTTCCGACTTTCGAAGCGACTACACGTAAAATTTCTAATATTCGATAAACTGAAATAAACGAGTACTTAACTAGAAATAAACGAGTAACTACTTGAAATAAGCGAGATAGGAGATACTGAAAGGAGAGGAATGTAGGCAAGACTCTCTTATGTCAGTCAATAACTCGCTTATTTTTAGTTTTCGAGCACTAACTCGCTTATTTTTAGTTTTCGAGTGCTTACATCCAAATCGTTGTATTACATCAGCATGACTACCTTAAAACAGTTACTTCTGACTTAGCAAATTTAATATGATGCTTTTCTTTGTCCAGTGTTCACCTCTGTTGTTGTTCATAAGTGAAGGTAAGCGTATGTATTCTCTTCCGCGTTGTGGTGTTCTATGAGAACTTGACTCCCATGAAAAAGATAGCCTCCGCGATCCTTATCTCCCGGGTACCACGGTCCGAAGTCTAGACCGGACCAAAAACCTGTAAATTCGAACCCATCGCCCAATGGTGTTCTTTCGTTGATCTTGCCCATATTGCAGCTCCAGCGCAGATAGATATTGTCGACCGAGATGTCGAGGCCACCGAAAGGGGCAAGGCTTCCTTGACCGTCGTCGCCCATCTGGTGCTCCAAGAGGTCGTACATCGTATCCGTATCGTAAGTGACTCTCAATCCATCTTGTTGGTCAACGTAGGCTTTAATATTGCCAGCATTCACAGTAGGCCGCTTGTCAACTTTGTGGTCTGCATCTTCTTTCTGAAGATTATCATCTTCTGCTGTAGCAGTAGTACTCGACGAACCACTAGGACCTGCACCAGGCTTACTGGCTTTGGCACACGCAGCAATCGCCGACAACACCTCTTCTACCTCCTTTTCTGTCGGAACAATGTCTTCGTTATAACCCAATTGCGGTCTGGTCGGATCTCTAAGAACAATATCTCGCACGAAATTCGGTACACCGTGGCCCCACTTTTGCAACAGGGATCGTACACAATTTACCAGAGGGATCGGTGCTCCCAAAGCAGGAGGCGATGATGAAGAAGTGGAAGATGAAATAAAAGGCCCATCGGCAACATTGGATGAAGATGCAGATTTGCGCTCTTCTCCACAAGAAGACTCGTCCTTTTCATCTGCACACTGCAATAACGCACTTTTCGTTCCTTCTCTTGTATCTACTTTCTCTTTCTCCTGGTCACTTCGTGGTCCCTTCTTCATCCTAGTGCGATTGATCTGTCGAATCTTGCGATTCATCTTTCCGATCTCCTTCAATCGAGTTGGCAATCCTCGACAATGGAAATGCAACTTCAACTCCTCCTCTTGGCTCTCTTGGCCTTCCTCATCTCCATTCTTTCCAGGACGAATCGTCATTGCAAACGGCCTTGCCATATTGTCTTGGATCACCCAAGTGAGGGAATCTTCCAGGATTTTGATGATATGCTTTTCTTGACCTTGAGCTTCTGTTTCACGTTCACCCACTACAGGAGGCTGTTGTTCTCGTAGGCCCTTTAGTCTCTTCCACAATTCTTCCATTGCTTCCTTACTCCAGTAGCGACCGTCACCGTTGCACCACTTGGGACCAACAGGATGCGTTTGGCCCTTTGCCCGCAAGTGCGCGGGCTTCACTGTTGGAGCGCAGAATGCGACTTGTTGTGGTACTTGCTGCAACCCCACTGCTCGGCTCGACGAGGGTGGTGGAGAGGCTTTGTTTCCTTCTTGAATACCCATCTTGTTCGTTCTTGCCACAGGGTGTGGACAATATTGATATTGACTTTGACGATAAATTTTTAGATAGTAAACAATAGACAATACCTACGGGACTGCTTTTTTCTTTATCTTCATAGACTCAATTAGGGAGGAAATGGCAACTGAAGCAAATGGGCACTATGGCGCCACAATGAAATAGAGGTAACTGCTGAGGGTGTAAGGGTACTAGACTACGAACACCGTCCACGAACGTGATAGCCTCAACGGCGTGATTGATGGGCCTAGTCGTTAGCGACGATGACAAACCTGAAGGAACAAACATGGGCGATGGTGGTCGTTTCATCCTTGTAGCAGTCAGCTCCTTCAGTCATCAGAATCCTGGGGATCTCCGTGTTGCATCTCTATGGCTTGAGCCTGATCATCCTGATCTTTATCTTGAGCCTTATCAGTCTGGTCCTAGTGCTGATCTTACTGCTCTTACTCTGGGTCTTCATCTTGGTATTCAGATCCCTGACAGAAAGCTAGTAGATAATTTTTCCATTATTGTCAAAAGTACACTTGCTCCTGATGAATGTTGTTTGCGGTTTCGAGAGAGACAGTTTCCAATTGTAGTTCCATTGGCTATCTACTACAGAGAGTCGCGTTACAGCTGCTATTTTGTCATCCAAATCATTTATACTTTTTGGGGGCAATTTGCATCTTTCTCTGTGCTGAGGGAAAGTTGGTCGATCTCTTTAATGCTCCCGTCATTCAGAGGATACAGAAGGTTTGAGATTGAGATCTGCTGTATCTTCTCTCAACAAGTTTGATGTCATGGCTTTTCTCAACAAGTTTTCGGTACACTCTTTTCTCTCAACAAGCTTGATGTCATGACTACTCGTCTGAAGAAATAGAACGCAACACGCCGCTACCATCGCATTGGTTTGAGTTCTTCGTTGAAGATGAGCATAGATATATAATATGAAGATGAGGGGTGGAGCGAGCCAACCCAACTAGGAAAAGTAAAAAAAGAAAAGAGCATAGATATAACAGAGCAACTTATAAGGTTCCACAGCTCGCATGGCATGGAGTGCATGGATCGCATGGAGTAGCATGGAGCTAAAGGGGGAGCTTCTTGCGCCCCTTAAAGCTCTGCGCTCCATGCACTCCATGCACTCCATGCTACTCCATGCACCATGCGTGCTATAAACTACTCTGATATAATGCAATCGCTTTTTTCACGGGATGGGGGAGGGAATGGATTCAAGAATACATCCTTTTCCATTCTCTATGAGCTTTCAGTACTGCTGTCTCCAAAAGTTGTACTTCGCCCTCATCTTTGCCTTCTGCTTCATGAGCACTGTCTTCTGCTTCATGAGCCTTAGGCACGACTATGCTCTTTGCCGTTACCTGAGCTGTTGTGTGAAGGTAATGGACGAAAGCAGGGACTGACGCACTTGAAGACAACCTGTAGTCTCTTTCAAATAGACCATCGCTGTATCGACCACAACATACAGATAAAGACCGGGGATCTACTGAAGTGTCTGGCCTTGCTGCTTGCAACTCTGCACCATGCTTCCTGACCTTTCCTCCAGCAGCTGGAAAAACGTCCCCTACATCTTCCACATGTAAATTCCTACACGCTTCCCTACTCTGAAAAACTTTAGCCCCAGCTCTTTGACACATCTCCCGTTCAAATCGGCTTAGGCAGTTTCTCAGGGCCTTCGTACTGGAACTAGAAGTTCTCGTACTAGAAGCTTTGATCAACAACTTGGCCAGCAACTGTCCATCCAACAAGGCCTGATTGGCTCCTTGGCCTTTAAACATGCTCATGGCATGAGCGGCGTCGCCCAATAATGTAACCAACGGTCGTGGACGTGATCCTCTGGAACTACTAGGGTCTTTAGACTTTGCCACTGACTGTTTGGGATTGTCATGTTGGTGCTTTGAGGACGTACATGTAGATGCTTGAGGACTAGTACTGCTCGTGCATCTAGATGCTTGAGTACTAGCGCTGCTATCCATATACGAAGGCAACACCTGTGTCGGATCCCGGTCATACAGATGCGTGGCCCAAGTCTCTAAAATCTCCGTTTGCTCCACCAGTTCTCGACAAGCTGGAAACCAGTCCTTTAGCAGATCGTCGAGTACGAACTTCTGTAGCCTCTTCGGTAGTGAAGATGTATTTGTTGTTGGTGTAGCGCAGGCTCGTTCTGATTTTTGATTCCGTTGAGGACAGTTTTCCACGATCCGTTCGTTGGCTGTTGCTATTCTTTCCGCGACATCCTTCTTCTCTTGCACGTTGTTTCCACTAGTGTCCGAATCCGCCCCAGCCTCTCCTTTCACCCTCTCCAACATCTTTCCCCCTTTATCACTAAAGGACAATTGCCACATTGTCAACTCGTCTGAAAAGGGCATCACAAAAAGCCTCTTGCCATCTCCAAAAGCATAAAAGCCTCCACGACGGATTAATGGATGTTTCAACCTGCTCAGTCCGATTACGACAGAGACGTTCAGGGGATTGAGGGAGGAAGACGATGCGGTGTAGTCGTCGTTGTCGTGGCTCTTTTTTGTAGCACCCTGATCACCTTTCCTTTCCGCAGAGGACGACGACCACTTCTTGTCCATCAGCAAACGCGCCACTTGACTGCGAATTCCATCCGCTCCTACTAGCAGAGAGCACGCAATCTCGACTCTATCATCACCTCTCACTTGTGTCGTCGAGGCTGAAGATGGTGTTGAGGGTGCGGTAGATGATGTAGATGGTGTAGATGTTGTAGGTGATGCTGTAGATACTGTACTTCTATGTGTTGAGCCTGTTCTTGCTGACGTTGGAGAATCATCTCCACCTCGCTCGTCTTTTACTACCATCGGAGTAGCAGTCCTGTTGAATTTCGCAATTACACCACTTTCATCTGCATGATCCCTCTCTTCTTCAAAGTCGAGAAGTTGCATACCCCACATGACTTTTTCTGATGGGAGCTTCTGAAGAAGCATCTGTCTCAACTCCTGGCGTGGTATACGGAAATTGTTTTCTCCTGAGGATGAGCTAGAGGAGGATGTTGCAGGACTAGAAGACTTCGACTCTGCCGTACTTTCTCGTTCATCTTTAGCGTCCTCCTCAACATTGTAGTCAGCTTTGTTACAACCATGATTTCCATTGTCCTTGTCCTCGTCTACACCTCCATCCGCCTGTTCCTTTTGTTCATCCTCCAAATGCACAAGTCCTCTTCCAAAATACCCCAAAATCTGTCCATCCCGACCGTCAAACACCCAATGTCTGTCGGATGCCTGACTTCGTGCTCGACATTGTCCTTCGATGCCTAAGCCACGAAGGCCGCTTGGCGTGAGTGTCATGCCATAGCCCTGCTTCCTTTCTCCCACGTGCGCGTCGCGCTCAAACACGAGATAAGGTATCTTTGCCTCTTCGAGCTTTACTGCGAGAGCAAGGCCACCAAGACCACCACCGACGATGCCGACTGGTCTGGTAGGTAGTTCTGGTTGCCGACCACCAAGACCATCACCTATGATGCCGACGGCGGGTCTTGTGCCAGCGTGATCTTGCTGCATAATGTTCGACTCTGGAGGTACTAGTGCTGTTGCAGCACCACATGGTCCAGCGGTCGTAGACGAAGGTGATGACATGTTCTATTAGCAAGGTAGTCGTAGAGGCATTCGAAAGATACCCATTACCATTAGCTACAACAAAGAAATAAACCTCCACTCGAACAGAGGTTTGTTAGTATAGAACAAAAGTGCGTCGAGAAGCCTACATGATTCCCGCCTGGAGAGAAGAAAGCACATACTATTTGCGTTTTTTCTTGCTTTATGTAGTCTGCAACCTAGTACTTGCATTTGATGATGATGTTGAGGATATGGTCATGTTGAGATGGATCTGTTTTGCTCTGATGCTACTATGATCTTTACCAGTAAAGCTGAAGGCTTGTTCCTCTTCTCTTTCCAGATCTTGATAATAATGAGATCTCCTCTGTCGCTTGGCACGGTCCTCTTGACCTTTTTCATGCCGAAGTTTGTTCCAGGCTTTGTGGTTGTAGTTGTTATTACTATTATGTTCGCGCAGTACGACACTATCGCCGCACACGCTTCGCGCTCGCAGCTCACTTACCTCGCTTTGTAGTTACACCTAACTTTTTTCAATTTCCTTTTTTCTTGCGCGTCATTGTACAATACAACCATAGTACTCCTTGTTGTCTGGGATCCTTCATGTGCCAAATACATTTGATTGTCGTCCGTCCTGAATATGAGAAGTGAAGTATGTAATAATTGAGTATTTCTGGTGTATTCCTTAGCCCTATAATCAGAAAAAGCAGACATCGACGACGATCCTCTAAAACATTGAGCAATCAAGTCTTTCGGTGGACCATGACTATGCACAACAAAAATCATTATATACGACAACAACAATCAGAATCATCTTGTGTGATAATCAGAATCATCTTGTATGATAAAGATTATCTTCATAACAGTGAAGATGTGAAGCGAGCCCGACGAAGGAAGCCTCCCACTGTGATCTAACCAAACTCAATTGTAGCATGCGCTTTTGAAGCACGTCATCACAGAGCGAATTTCAAAACACGAATTCAGAATTATATGGTCGTCTAAAACATCCTTTTATGTGAACATGAACGGTAACAAGTGAGTGTTTGTGCTAGCACAAGAATAGAATTCGTGTCCATTTATTGGTAGTGGTGCCCTCTGATGCTCGTCAAATAAACGTTGACTTAGACTTTCTTCGTTACTACATAAAAGTCGTTCATTTTATTTCAACGACTCAAAATGATCTTCTAATAATATTCCAATATGTCATCTTCATGACCCCCCTCTCTATCGCCCCCGAGTCCGAAACATGTTTTTCAAATGACAATCAAATACCATGTCTTGCGTTCTTTATTTCTTACACAACAACTATATCATGCTCATTGATGATGCTACCTCTACCACCTAAAACCCTGTCTATCAAGATGCTGAAAATACCAAGATACGACAACGACAACTCTAGAACGTTATGAATATACTAACACAACCAAGATACAACTCTACTATCACGTCACTCACCCAAGATACAACCATAACTCAAAACAGCATCGGATGACCCCGATGAGTCGCTGTCTGTGCAATACATTCATTGAAAAAAAGTGTCAACTACTGACTAGATTAAGCAACCTGCTTAGAAACTGAAACAACTTTCTTATAATCATAAAAATCACTTTCGAACTTAGAACTGCTTGGTGTGGCAGGAAATGACTCTGCCTATCTAGAAACGAGTACGACGACCTTTATCTTCTAACCTTTCGAAACTCGGAAAAACCACTGCACAACCTGAAAAATACTTGGTGTGACTCAACAACAGCAAAAACTGATAATGATTTTACAACTAGGTGAATCCATAAACATGAGAGAACAACGCCCACATTTTTCAACTTCGTCCCCACACGAGCAGCGTGTACTCGTGATCTTCTTCCTACCCCTTTCCACTTCCTACCTGTAACACATTGATTTCTTACCTCCCCCCATTCCTCATTCCTCGACACCCAGCACACCAACACCTCTCTTTTTTACTTACTCACTTCTATTTACCTCCCGCATTTCTCGATGGTTCCAGGTGTATCAGAAGGATGGTGATATCGTCTACGACATTGTTCTCTTCTGTGATCCACCTCTTCCAGGCCTCTTGGGCCAACGCCTCCGCAGCCTTCATACTATCGCTTGGTGAATAAGCAGAAACAATATCGACGGCCTGATTTTAAAAGAAATCTTGATCTTCTCTCCTGTGCATTTAAATTACAAGCTGTGATGATGGAAGGTGTATGTGTCCTCGTTCAACAAGCTAAACAACGACCCAAGAATCTACAACTATTTAAGCACCAGCTCTAAAGTATATGTGAGGAAGAAAGTCCACCTACTAGTAGTAGTACCTCCTGATTCGATATGAATTCCCAGACGCCGTCTGAGCATAGCAAAAAGAACTGATGCGCCGGTGTCAATTGCACTTTTGTTAGAGGTGGCCGAACTTTTGGATTCTTCAGAATATCCTTGGCCCCTTTATTTCCCCTTGAAAAGGAGCCAAGGATCCTATGGTTCGTGAGCAGGGAGGTAATTCGGAAACTAAAGGGCTTAGGGTTAGAATTATGCTAGTGAAGAATGTAATTCGGAAACCCTTAATGTTGAAAGTTCCGGTTCAGCTGTCACTCCTGCAGAAGCGCCCACCAAGTCTCCGATACTTCGACTCATAGCCAATCCTGGATAGAGCTTGTTTTTGAGGAAAACTCGCTCGTTCACATCCCCGCTCAGACAACGGACCTGGGAAGCGAGGAGATGGAGGTCGTGGAGGTGTGTAAGTATATTTAGTTTTTGATTTCAATTCTTTACGTGATAGATGTTGGGTCGTGATGTTTAGAGCTATTAGATTTAGTTGTACCTCTTGCTCCAGCACCTGACATTCAGTGGACGAGGACAATAAAAAACCTTCAATATTCAAGGTTGTAGGTAGACACTGACACAAACACAGAGTTTGACCTAGTGGAGGTGTACTAAATCTTACACCAGCATCTTCGCAGTACCTGTCCTCCATTCTTTTCGATGCGTGCTCTCTCCGCGGGCAGACTAGGCTTGTGGTCCAGAGTCAATGAGACGGCTTTGTTTGCGCCTCCTTCTTTGACAGCGATCACGCCACGTGAATCTCCCACATGACCGACATGCAGAAGGCCCTCACTCTCCTGTAAAAACGCCACGGTCCCCGTTGTTCCTGATAGACTGCAGTCCATCACCTGAGTAGAGGTTGGTAAGGAGAAACAGCGATGTTAAACTCAAGAATTAAAAACTAAAGACGCAGTTCATCTACTTCGACGTGTAAGTATCTCTGCTTGTTAAAAATGAAGTTAAAAATATTTCTATTCTGTTTCTTCAATCTTCATACATCAAGTACTATGTTGCTTCTTCAACCTAATGCCAATTCTGTACGATTAATAATGCTAATCCGAGTTTCTGCTCAAAAATGAGCTCTACTAAAAATTTGCCTTCTACTTTTCTCTCATTCGCCTTAGCTGCTTGTTGGTGTGTTTTCACAAAAGCCTTTGAAATCGCTTCCTTGGGGTCACTTTTCAGAGACTCTGACCTCAGCAAAACCGCAGGTAGTAGTTGGTGAACGAAATGGCTGACCTCGTGACCAAATGGCCCATGTCCATCAAAAACCCCATATATCCCGCAACTGTTGTCGACCTTTGGTAAATCATATTGGGAAATAAACTAGGAGAGAGTATACATAGATAAGCAGCATTTGCTACTTCTCAACTTGAAGATCAAGGCTGACTACTAGAGATTCATCGACCGACGAAACAATCAATCTTCTGTGCCTTCATACTATCGCTTGGTGAATAAGCGATAGTATGAATAGAAACAATAATCATGTACCTGAAACAAGAAGAAATCATCCTGATTCGGTGACTCGGGTTTCAAGCCCTTTTTGCACGCGAAGCCGATTCCGAATTCAGTTGAATTCACCTGAGATCCTGCATAGTTGGAAGCCACACTCTGGATCTTGTTCTCAAACCCATTTTGTGGTCCTGTAGCTTGTAGACCGGCAAAAGAAAACCGTCGTTCACCAGCAGGAAGTAATTCGAGCAGCGTCTCGAACTGGAAAGAGATTTTTTGAGTTTGTTTGAGATCAGGAATCAATTATGTAATCGAAGAACTGACATAAGCAAGTAACTGATCAGAATAAGTAAGCGAGATACTGATGAAAAGGAAGAGTAGCCTTGATGTTAAGCTACCTCCCTTATTTCAGTCACTGACAGTCAGTAACTCGGTTATTTTGAGTTTTCGAATAATCGAACTCGAAGTGAGCAGTTGTGAACACAGAATACAACTAGGAATCGGAATGGGAGTTCACAGCTTGATGAATCTTGTTGATGGAACGAATATGCGCACTCTCACTTCGAAAGCTCATTGCAATCTAGTAGATCATCCACATCCTTCTACTTCCAAGAAAACTCATTATGAATAAGTACTAAAACATAGAACAATCTTCAAAATAGAAATACCTTATTCGCACATTGTTGCTGCTGTGCTTTTGATGCGACTTCCTCGTTTCCGTCTGCCCCTTTGAGCACTGAGAGACGTCTTCTCTGTTTGTCCGGGATGGCAGCGCCGCCCGTGGCCGCAGCCGGCTCAGCTTGACTCTGGACGCAACCCATGGTAAGGTTTACTTTCGTGGATTTGCGGGACTCGTGATGGTTACCTCAGAGGGTTCGAACTAGTCGTGAAGATGAGAGTGGCAATGGAATTGAAGATGAGAGTATTGCCCTGGCTGCTACAACTAGTCGGTTTCTTGTTCTAGTAGACTGGGCAATCCCACTGCTGCTCCGTTTTCGCGATGTTTGCAGGGTAAAGCGGAACTTTTCGAAGTGTGCGAATGATCGAAGATGTTAGTAAATGTTCTATGGTGTTGTAAAAAAGCAAAATTTTTTCTTTAAATCATAAGCCAAAATCTTCTTGCACTTAATTTATACTGGTCTTAATCTTCGGAAGATGATATAAACACCCCTTGCAAAATATTCACACCCTTCCTTGGTTGCAAAATTAATTAAAAAACACCTCTATGTGATTGTGGGTTGTGGTGAGATTTCATCGAGATTATATGCAGATTTTTTTGTGTTTCGAGGGTATGACCGACGTCATGTGAAGAGTGATAGAAAGATGCGGGTTCGTTCTCAATGAGCAGCTTGTCTTTTCATTTTCTTGTCCTTTTTTGCGCTTTTTTTGAAAAAACAGCAGGAGAAAAATCAAACGTTTCTCATAAAAAACATGAAGAAATACTTGTTGTGCACAAGCAATGTTCTCTCCACACTCAAAGATAGACGGCTGATAGAAGGTCCGACCATAAAGCCAACAGGAAAGCCAATTCAACAGGTGCAACCGACAAAAAAAAGCTCAACCACAAGGGTGGAAGACAGACTTCAGCCTTTGAACATTCGTTTTTTTTGGTTCTAGAAACAAATACTCCGAAATGTGGACGTTAGCAGCACGCAACTTGTGGTCCTAAAACTAATCTACACTGTACAAAACACGGTCCTAACTGGCACATCGATGTAACTCGAACTAGTAACTTCGATCTGTCGTATGCTATTTACTCATATTATGACAATTACACAACTACCCTCGTGACCACCCGATGTAGGCATGACCTAACTTCTACCTACTTAGTCTGAAATAAACGTGCATTATGAAGACCGAAACTAAAAACCCAACTAGTCGTCCCACGTGCTGCCCGGAGCCATAACGCAGAACAAAACATGCACAAAAATGACTAGATGAAATCTAAAATGTGTTGCCGGCGTCCTGCAATCACGATGTCATTTTCAGTTTCTTGAAACTCTTACCATCACCCCTTCGTATGTTTGTCGTTGTGTACCATACCCCATACTGATACTCAAGCTGACGCTGACTACTACAACTACTTAACCTCCTACATAAACTCTATATTTTTTTCAGTATCCCTACTAGTAAAAATTGTCCTTGCCACCCAGCCACCTACAAAAACAAAAAACTTACTTATGTCGATAGCCTAGAAAATTACTTATGTCGATCGTGGTCATTATTATGCTCAACATCTTTTTTCTTAGAAACGATGTTATGAGAATGAGACAAAACTGTGATTTTGGGTCCGTATGGTAAAATGATGAAAACATAACCCATCATTGTCGTGAGTAGACTTCTTCATGCTCCTTTACTACATCCATGACACCGACTGTACAAGTACACGAGTAAGTTGTAAAGCTTCGTTGATGCATTATCTTCGATACGAGTTCATTTTAGTATGCAGCTTCCGTTGTGACAAGCATTTTTCATAATTGAGATGTAGTTGATCATGCTGTTCATATCATAACTCAATTACCCCCATCGCTTCCATCATATCTGGCCTGATCTATGTACTTATGTCAACATTTTTCGTCAAGAAAACTACATGATCAGCTACTAGTACATTGGTATTAGTTCTTGTAACACTCCTTTAGCATGAAAATTTCTGTCTCATTTTGCTTTCTACCTATTGCTCCTGTACACCATTGCATTATGACCCTGCAGGACTATCTAATCTTCTATACACGTACGCCTCCTTGTCCAAAAAACTACCACCTCTAGCTCTACCTCTAGTACAGCTAGTAGAAGTACTTAATACAGCATACCCCCACCTCCATATGCATCAGCATGAGAGTACGCACTGTAGTCCGGGTATTTTCTTGTACGCGTCGCCGCCATGATTCCCCTAGCCCACGGTGGGGATGGGACCAAGAGGGAGGGTGTAGGCTCGGTCGAGACACCTGTGAGGAAAATATCAGTGGTGTTTGACTTTGAATGATGTGAATGCGTATTTGTGAGTGAATGTCAATAAAGGAAAGAAGATATCGACGTAGATTTCGGCGGGAAGTTCGATATCGACGGATCTTCTAATCATCTTCAAAACCACGCAGATTGTTCGTGTAGTTGAATAAACAAGTAAGAAAAAGACTTTCTAAAAAAGAATTTCTACTTCATAAGAGTAGAAGTACCTCCTGGTCTGCCAGTCGGACGTGATCGCTGACCACCCTCACGCGGCAAGCAGCATTTGGTTTCAACCCACTTGTCATCCAGGAAATGTTCGTGATAACTGAATTAATAGATTTGCATATGCTCAGAGCTACATTAAGTAGGAGTAGCATCCAAAAACCTCCTCCATAACAAAGCATGAGCATCCAAAAACCTCCTCCTCCACAACAAGTAGAATGAATCAACAAGAAAAGTACTCAACATCCAAGCATTTGGTCAAGAAACAATGATCACAACAGGAAAAGTACTCATCCAAGCATTTGGTCACTGATTGCGGATTGCGGAAGTTTACGAAGCCGAAACCACGACTTTGATTCGTCTCGTGGTCCGTGATGACTACTGCGCCAGTAATTAGAGGGTGTCCCATTGCATTCTTCAGGTCATCCTTCACCCCTTCCCTAGTACGGGAAAGCAAGGTAAGGGTGGCTGAATGGTTCCGGTATTTGGTAGCCTGAATTTGATCACAAGGATTCTCTTCTTGTTTTCCTTATGATCAAAATCAGGCTACCAAATACCAGAACTATTCAATGGTAGTGAAGAATGCAAAAATGTGGTTGTAAGAAGCCTTAAAGTAATGGGTCCGTATTTCGAGAAGTAATTCTTCAATTTCTCACTAGTGCAACTTTCCGGCAAAGCGCCGACAAAAATTTTCTGGGACGTTGTCTGTAGTTTGGAGGATAGAACTTGCGATTGGAGAGATAAAGAGTCCTATGATGTTCTTGACGTCAGCATGAATCATATATCTTGATATTTTTGCTTAGGCTGTACTTCTAGAAAGTAAGTACCACATCCGTTTCCGCAATTTCCATCGCACGTTTTACGTCCAAAACCTTGTCTTGCAGTCTATGCGGCAAATTTCGCGGATCCAGTACTGCTCGGATGGCTTCGGCTGTTGTGAGGAGTAGAAAGCAACAGTGCATAACCTGAGCGTACTTTTCGGTCTTTTTTCATCTTCATCTTAGATCAAGATGGACATGCAAGGATGCTTCCCTAAAATTTTGCGACCTACAAGAAGTAGAAGCTAGTATTAGCATAAAAACATCAACATGATCATTCAACATCACAAGAAGGAAGTTAGTTTTAGCATAAAAACATCAACATGATCATTCAACATCAAACAACAACAAAAGTTACAGTATCAATCAGCACAAAAATAAATATCAACATCATACTCATTCAACATGAAAGAAGAACAAGTACGATCTTCAAAGCTGATGAAAGCGTAGCCCTTGCTCTTTCCGGAGTTCAAATCTGCCTTCAAGTTGCACTCTGTGATGGCTCCGAAGGTCGAAAAATAGCTGCGCAAATCCTTCTCTTGAATGTTGGGACCCATCGCACCAATGAAAAGTCGCGTCTCGGATTCAACGTAGAACGTCTTGGCGGCTCCGGCTGGTGGATTGCTGGAGGGGAAGTTAGAGATGGGCGGGTTGGGTTGAAGAGAGGTTGGTTCGCACTGGAGAAATTGTTTTTCTGTCAATTATGGGAGAACACTGTAGTTTCAGTGTTGAACTGTTATCGACGTACTTGATGTTGGATGGTGAAGCATAGACATGAAACCAACTTACAACTTCAGTGTCATAATGTTACTCCCCATACCCTGTGCAGTCGCAGCTGTATACGTCGATGTATTCGTATACGCTCCTGCACTTCCCCATTGGTGAGGCCAGCTCCTGCTGCATGGTGCCGTATACGCTCCTGCACTTCCCCATTGGCCTGCTGCCGGTGCGATGGCAGGAGGTGGTGTGTTGATGTGCTCCATTTTGTTGTTGTGTTGCTTGGTAGACGCAGGGGACGTAGACGTAGGTCCTAGATGTGGAGGACGTAGACGTGGTAGACGTAGATCTAGAAGATGCTGGTGGAGGTGCTCTTGTGCAAGTACAAGAAACTACGAGATAGACGTAGTACGCAGTAGAAGTGTGTTCTTGTACAACTTACTTATATATTTTATACTTCTCTCTCTTTTGAGCAGGCGACGTGGTTGTGGTATATCAATCTACTTGATGATAGTACTACAAATTTTTGTTTCAGAGGTATGGTTATGGAAAATGTTCAAACTATCTTTTGCTAGCAAAGAAAATCCATCGTCTCTTGATCATGATCTTGTACTAGTCTAAAGTTCAGTAGAAAACGTCTTCATCTGCGTCTAAGTCTACTCTCATCATCTCTCTTTTTCGCTTTTGCTTTTTCAATGGCATTTTGGCCGTTGCAGGTCCTTTTGTCTAAGGTTTTTTCTGCCTTCTTTGCGTCTGCCGTTTTTGAGCTTCATATTCATTACACTCTTGTACGCATGGTGCGCTTTCGAACAAATAAGAGACCACTTCCTCTTGTGGTCAGCCAGCTCAAGATCGCATCCTTTTTTCTTCGCTTGATTATTTCTTGACGACTTAGATGACCTGCAGCATAAAGAACTTTTGATCATGTCCTTCAAGACTGTTGAAAAAATCATGTCTGATGGATACTGGTTTACAGGATAACAGCCATCACTTCTGAGAAGTGACCGTAGTCGCCCTGTCCTCGAGTCTACAACAAAAGCTACGATTGAAAATGTGGAGTCTATGTAGTTGAGAAGTTGAAGTGAGTGGTTTCCCAGTACTCCTGGTCGTATCTGTTCTCGGAGAGAGATACTTTATAAGCTCGAGTTTGCGCAAATGTGAGGAAATGGTAGAAGATCCTAAAGCGGTGGACACAGACGGTTCAACTCCTGATCGGTTTGAGAATTAAGTCGACTATGAATATATTTGTTCGACTACCTTGTTATTGTTTACTCATGATAGTTGCCGCTTGTAATAGTCTTGGTCTATCATCCGTGTATTCTTCCTTTTCCTTTAAAACTTAGACATATCATGGCACAGTTCCTACACACTGACAGAGAGACACTATTCTCGCGCCACGACTTAGTTGGGGAAGATCATCTTACGAAGGGCTGGCTTGTCGTTCTCCAGGCACAGTCGCAGTCGGGTATCCAAGGTGTTGTCCACAGTGATGCTGCCTCCCTGGCATGACAATACCACTCCGCCAAGACAGGTGGGTGACAATGGACTGATGCGGGGATTTGGGAAAGATCAATGTTGTTGTAGTAAAGGATGAATAAAAAAATAAGTTGTTGGTAAAAAAATAAGATCGTGATGAGTAAGGAAAAACAAGAAGAGAACAATTCCTGCGATCGAATTCAGGTTACCAAATGCCGGAACCATTCACACTGGTGAAGTTTGTATTTGTAAAAATGTTTACCTTTACCACATCTAAAAGAATCAATCAGAAGATAAGTGGAATATATACCACTTCTAATAAAAAGAATCAATCAGAAGTGGAATAAATATCAAGCAATATAAGTACGTTGGATCAATCGTGAGCTTGATGTTGGCACGAACGTTGACAGCCTTTGCGATGAGTTTTGAGAATGCCTGTGCCGATTGGTCCAGAATCATCTTCACAATGTTCATATCTGCTTGTCGGCACTTGACAGAGACCTGGGCAGGGAGGGGGGATGAGAAGAACAAGTTAGTAGTGTCCTCAGGGTTCTTGTTTTACAACGAACTGCGAGATGCTTTGAATCTTCACCTTCTGCGGTAATGTAGCTCTCCATTTGGAGATGGAGGTGTTGTGCATGCTACGAAGAGGATCATAGAAAACCAGCTACTTCTCATGATTGGACGAGTTCACGTCAAAAAAGTGGGATCATCCTCAAAACCTAAAATTATATTATTACCTCTTCCTCCATAAGCTTCAAGCAACCTTGGACGATGAGGTCCACAAGGATTTGCTTGTACTTGGCTTCTGCCTTCGAAACTTCCTTCAATTTCGTAGCGACTTCGCCAGCTAAGGTGTCCATGGGCAGATGAAGGGTCCATGTATCAACTTTTCTCTCGTAGCATGACTAGATTGTTGAATCAGAAGTTTCTTGGATCGTTTCCATCGTCATTCTATATTCGGTGCCCCAGAAGTTATCACACCACCTTCCTTCACCTTCATCATCACGCACAAAGAAGTTCTACTTATCTTTCATCATAACACAATTGCCTCGCTTCAATTTTTTTCAGTCTGGCCTTGTTGATCGCCGTTGACCGTGCAATCGCAACTTTCGTCTCTTCCTTCTTCTTCTTATCTGCCATTTCACTACCTGTGGGAGATAAAAAATAAAGGACTTCTGAGCGTGACGTGTAATTTTCCTGAAGAAGATGAAAGCAAAATTTTCGACTACCTCGTGATACTAGATCGACGGACACTTGCTTCAACCCAACAAGAAACACCCAGAACTACCAAAACAGAGACAATGCATCACCTACAACATCATCTCCAAGATGAACTTGAACTGCTCTTCACTAAATAAAGTACGGATCTTCTCTTTCATTCCTTGGACCAACTTCAATTTTTCGATATTGAAGTCTTCGGCTGTTTTCTGGTTCATCGTGGAGGCCGTCTCCTTGGCTTCGTTCAAAATGAACGAAGCCATCTGGCTCACCTGTGACATCGCTTCTTGGTCGTTCATCTTGTTTCCTTTGGGAGATCGTGCTCCTTATTTACAGGAAAGCTAATGCTAACGAAAGGTAAAAGTAAAAACTTATGTAAGTACGTCTACCTCTACGTACTTTTAGATACTCGTGGTCGTAAGTGGTTTATTCTGGAGATGAAAATATATTATAATGTTGTGATGTTCTGTGATATTGATCAATAGTTTTAGTTTGTTTTGGGTGGACAAGAAATATATAAACTATCGTCCCGCTCTCGAGGAAATTACTGTGAAAACCTCCACATAGAAGTGATCTCTCAACAACTCATGATCCACTGCAGTACCAGGGACTGTCAACTCACATGAGCGGCAAGTTCCTGAATGGCACGTTCATGTCTGACTCGCTGTCTAAAATGTCTTGTTCGCGTGAACTGTGGTCTTGCACCTCGTGATTGCAGTGGCAGCAGTGTTCGTCTATCTAGACCGATCCCATGTTCGTCGCTAGCAATGTCTTGCCTGAACACAAAAAAAAATGCCCGACAAGTGACGGAATATGTCATGAATATTGTGATGTCAAGCGGCGCCATCCAAAGAGCGCCAAACTGTTTTCTGATCTCCTGCCTTTCTGTCTCTGACAAAAAATAGTATCAAAGTCCAACTCATTCCGCCATGTAGTACTGGCCCAGCAATGTGCCGATGTCACCCCTACCACCTGCACGCGGAGCTGTCGCAAGTCGAAAGTCGTCTGCTTTATACGGAAACATCCCGTCTGGCATACCCATGGACTCGAGGCTTTGTATCGGCGTCTCCAACGAGTGCCTCGATGCTTCCACCGTACTAGCCGAGGTCATATCGACTTTATCCCCCGCACCGTTTTGGAAATCTTGTCTAAGAAAGTCGTTCAACCAAGGCATGGACTGGCGATATTGCTGCAGCCAATTGGCTGGGGTAGGAAAACCGAGGTCGGGACCACTGAAGAGACCTCGGGATGGTGATAGTATGTTTTTGGAAAACCGAGGTCGGGACCACTGAAGAGACCTTGGGATGGTGATAGTATCTTTTTGGATGACATGTTCTTGGACGACATGGGTATTCAAAAAACTGAAATTTAAGCAAGCAACTGATCAGAATAAGCGAGATACTGACGAGAAGGAAGAGTAGCCTTGACGTTATAAGCTAGTGCCTCCCTTATTTCAGTCAGTAACTCGGTTATTTTGAGTTTTCGAATAGTCGTAAGTGCATGGTGGCTGATGTCTAAGATGAAGCGAGACTTGATGTCATAGTTGAGTTTCAAAAAAAACGGAGCTGGATGAGAGTGAGATGATGCACAACAGCCGTGTCGGTATTGCATGACACCTACAAATATGATGCTACTATTTTAATACCATAACAACGTTCGACGAAGCACAAACCAACATCGGAAGAAGCAAAAATCTCAATCTACTTGTACCCATAGGATATTTCCAACGCATTTCTTTATTCCTCGGCCTATGCTTCCTCAACGGATGTCGACTAAGGCCATCACTCCTCAAGATCTGAAAATGCTCTTCCTCATTCGCATAGGGTACACACCCGACTAAGCGGTCTGCTGGATGTAGTTTGACAGATTAGCAGGAGGTGAAGAGATTGAAGCTCCTGCGCATGAGACTCTTGCTTCGTTGCTGACGTACTAGAAGTTCAATAAACCAAGAAGTAGTACAACTGTAGGTGGACTGGAAGTTCAAACCAAGAGCAAGAAGTACAACTTGAGACTTTGCTTTGATGTTACTTGCTGCTATGTGGTCATACTTTTTAAGAAGTGTAAAGTTTCTTGCCATAAGTCAAGTCCGCACAGCTGTAGCACTTCGCTTTCTCATTCGGACCAGGATCGCCTGGACGCATGTTCGGGTCTGGTCCTAGCAAGCGGTCGTTATTTTCTATGGAATCTTCTTGTATGGGACTAACGTTCTGCAAATCTGGCACCCACCCACAGCCATATTTTGGGTCCTTGCAGCTAACATCGGCACACGGGCTGCTGTCCTTGAAGCGCTTGTGGAATTTCCGTCTGCAACTATAGAGTGTAGGTCGACAACAGAAATTACACTGCGCACTGTCGGCGTAGACGAAGAAGGACGTTGACGCTCGTCGGGTTCTTGCGGAGAGTGTAGCTTGTCTAGTGCTTGTTTGGTGCCCCTGCAGCTCAAGGAACGTCGAAGAGTCCTGGTGCCTTTTCGGTTGGGATATCGTCCTTGTCTTTTCCGCCATCCTTTGATCTCCGCTGCTTTCCTTGAAGACGCATGAAGACGATGAACCGCCATATTGGTACTTAATGTGATGAGAAGACGGTGAAGTGTCGTTGGTTGGGGAAGCGTGAGGTGAGCTGGGGTAATTAAGAAAAGTTTGCATCTGCGGAGGAATCATTCGAGTACTTACTTTCATGCGCATAACATTCTTGTGGTCTACTCTTTTAGTGTATTTTCAGTGAGCTTGAAGCATTGAGATGAAGATGAGAACTCGGGCTTCTAGTAGATCATTCTTCTTCGTCCAACGAACCGATTGACAGCTGCAGGGGTCCGCTTATAGTGAAAACAGATAGCGCAGGGACCGAGAAGAGCGTACCGAGTAGCAATACTTAATTTTGACTACAGTGACTTGCTGGATAGTGCGATCACTCGATGAATGAACAGAGCGATATTGACATCCGAAGATCGATTTGTACTCTTCTTTTACAACATGCACGTGCAGAATTCTGATTCTGTACCGATAGTATCGGCACCCAATACAGTAGAATATATTTATATTTTTGCTACCTCCACGAAAATGAAGATCCTTTGCACAAGTGCAACTGGCGACACCAAGTCGTAGAATCAAGGACCTCGTCGGGATCGAACACTTGAAACTATACCTACCCCACCCACCCGGGTTTACAAGACCCGCCAGTGAGCTCTCAACCTGACTTTTGTTCTTGTATGAAGAAATAATCAGTATGTTGTTATCCCCTACAGCGAACGAAAAATAGATCGAATTCATGCGGTTTAATGTATCACCTCTCATCAATATTGGAAAAGCCGTTCCCCTTCTTCATTGTTGAGGAGAAGTAGATGAAGTTTGCGCCCTCAATCATGAACATCAGTTTGCACCACTTAAGTTTGTTTGCACGCTATCAATAGCATCTTGGAAGCATCCTCCGCTTACTTCTTCTTTCCCTTGATACCAGCTGCGGCAGCAGCCAAGGCCTTCTTCTCTGCGGCCTGATTTTGGGTCATTTAATATACAAGAACAGAACGATGCTCTATGATCTCTAATTCTGGTTCAAAAGTCATCTTTTCAAACACGATTACAGCGATCACGTAAACATCACTCCCTGACCCTTTTTTCTAAAAACCAAAAAACCTTAAGATTCGAATACCTGCTTCGCCTTAAAGGCCTTATCCTCATCGAGTTCGCAGCCGCCACCACTCTTGGCCTTCTTCTCGACTACGCCACGTTGGGCCTTGTTCGAAGCTCCGCTACCAATCGGCATTTTTTAAGACTAAGATTGCTAAAAAGAGCAAGAAAAAGGAGAAGGCTACTTCTAACTAGATGACGTGGAGAAGAACAACGCTTGTCGCTACAACGATCGTTTGAAATTGGCTGCTGGAGATGCTAAAAAGAGCTGCTGCGAAAGAGGTGGAAAGGAAACTTAGATGAGCCTAGTTGATGGAGGTTGATGATGCGAAGAAAACCGAATTCTCAAGGGATCTGGTAGTATGGTAATTTGTCGTAAAAAGAAAGATCTCCAAATCATCAAATCTTGAAATTTGCAGATGCAGATAATGCAGATCTATTTCATGTTTTTCATCAGATGAGAGGACATCTACCTCAGTTTGAACTCTCATGATGATAGAAGGGCAGCGAACACTCTGTTTCTGCTGTGTCGTCTCACGCTGTCAAGACTCATGATTGACCTTTCTCCATATGCCATTTTGTGATAGCTAAAAGAATGTAAACCGTGATCTCGTTTGTGTGTCATTGCAGTTAGAAGTTAGTTATAATTGCAGATCGGTCGTGCAGCTCCCACCTATGATCGATCTGTGCATTGATTTCAACATAATGACAATACTCTCTACTACTTCAGGAGCATGTTGCGGTTCCGAATATTAAGCTAGTACCTTGTTCTTGGTTTTTCAACCAAAATGATCCTTTCATTTTTACTTTTTATCAAATGATATCACTTGTAAACGAATAACAAATTTCCACTTGATCTTAATACGCATTAGAATTAGAATCTGCAGTAGATGTAGTAAGTAGATGTAGACATTCATAACAGTCTAGGCTAGACATAGACATTGATAAGGATTCCGACGGAGCTCAAGCTAATATACAGCTGTGCAGATTTATTCCAAGAAAGGTTCTCGTCTTGCTCTTTCGTCCAATCATATACTGTTTTTTCCCAAAAATCCCAATCCCGTCCCAAAAATAAATTTGTTACAAGTCGAAGTCTCTGATGTGTACTATCTAGCTAGATGAGCATGAACAACCTCCGTGTCGTAAAAGACGTGCTTGTGGTAGTCGTTCTATTCTTCGAAAAAGCATCGATTCTAGCGAAAAAATACTAACATCATCAAACCTGGTACTCATGTCCCAACGACCCTATTCTACTTGATGCGAAAACAATTACATTTCCATTTACGATTTCCACCAGGTTAATAAAAACGATTCCCAATAGCAATATCTTGTACAAGAAATACCCAAATAATATGCGAATCTTATAAAAAATGTCTTCATTAGTATCATTGGTAATAGTATTCCTCGAAAAAGTTACTAAGTTCGTTCCTTGGCCTCGACTTTTTTATCGCCCCGCCGAATCGCGTTAACATCGAAGTTTCCGCCAGTTTTAATCACTGGCTGCAAAAAGACCGGATTCATCAATGCTTGTTTCGCTTCTTTATTAATAGAAGTCTTCTTTTTAATAGCTTTGCTAGAAGAAGTAGCGTGGTGGTCCGTGGGCTGTAGTTCTTCCGGAGATGATAGAGATACTGCCTCTGCTGTAGCGTCCTCCGGGATTGCTTGTGTTGTTGCGTCTGCTTGCGCGGCCTCTGGGTTCTCTTGAAGGTCTCCTGTGGCGACAGCTGCCTCTTCATTTCCATCACCAGTTGTTGGTCCCGCAGCTTCGCCATCTGCACCAGTAGCATCAGCAGTTTTACCAACTGCTGGGTCCTCGACTACATCTTTTGCATCGTTTTTATCTCGTCCATGGCGTCCAGCTTCCTTTACCTTTTCCTTGTTTTCATCTTCCGCCCCCTCCACTTCTACGACAACCTTGATAGTTTCATCTTCGCCGTCTTCAGCAACAGCTGGTGCATCATCGCCGTCGTCTTTGATCATGGGATCTTGTTCACCAGGTAGAGTCTCCGGATCCACCATGCTCTCAGGAACATCAATTTCACCTGCAGCTAAGGCATTGCCAACCTCAACCAGTTCTGCAACGAGTTGTTCCTCCTCTTCCTCAAGTACCAGTTCCCCAGAGGCTGCCATCTCCATCATTTTCTTAGCGAATTCCTCGATCGTCGTTCCTGCTTTCGCTAATTCAGCCTCCAAAGCTTTGTTTCTGGGTGATTTAGCTGACCGAGCTCTTGGTGACAATTCTGCGTCATACAAGTCTTGAAACGTCGTATATTGCGCTCTGTTTTTCAGCACCGATGCCGCACCACGCATGTTCAGTTTGTTCCCACCTCCCTTGTTACCTTTGGAGGCGGCTTTTGCTCCTTTCAATCCGACTCGGCCCATCGCAGATCTAGCCTTCAACCTTTCGATCTTGGCGAACATTTGGTCTGATCCGGATCGGATCACTTTTTCAGGGTCCGGATCCTTGCGGACGACCACGACTTCTTGCGTACTCTCTCCGGAAGCGAGGCTCTTCTTCCTCTTTTCGGCTTCTGCTTGTTCTTCATCGCTACTGGAAGCTCCGCCAGCACCAAAGTCCATATTAGCTTTGTCATCCTTGTTTTTGTTCATCATGATCTTGGTCTTGGCGAAGAACTTGGCGCGTCGGAACAACTTCTTCTTTCTAGTGGCTAGACTGGCGACAGAGAGAGCTTCGCAGAGGTTCGGCGGAAGGACATGCCAAGGCTGAGGCGGGAGAGGCTCAGGTACCCAAAGGGGTGGCTCGCCGTCCGGGAGGAAGCGGACCTCCTTGTCAGGGTTCACGAACAGCATGCTGGGGTGTTTCCTGTGGAGGAGGAGAGGATTTTTGGGGTATGAGGATGGGGGACAATACGATGAATACGAAGCAATATTAGCTTTTAGAGAGTTGTTGTAACTGTAAAAATTATACTTAAATAAATTGTCTTTGTCATGTCACCAGCAGACGAGTCCACCAAGTCGATGAAGTTAATCATAAATTTTTGGGCCTTGATGTTGTAACAAACATCTTCGCTGAAACTACAAAAGAAAAAGAGCATCGTCGACTAGAATATCTACTAGAACGAATCGTTCTAGTAGATATTAAATCGTTCTGAACGATTTAATAGATGACCAGATTAATGTTAAGTACCTCCTCCACCCACAGCTGTCTTCCACAGTCTCTGCTTGAAACCTCAGAGCTGAATCCGGGCTAGCCAACAGGTCGCCGCAGGTACAACGCGCCCTCCCCTCTTTCGCATACAGGTTTTTCAACAATGGATGCGCTTTGATGTATCTCTGCGGAAACTTCTCGGGTTTCAAGTCTGGAACATCCGACCCAAAGGTACATAATGCCTCTAGATAGGCGTTTTGCTTCTCTTGAGATCCTTTCCTGGCGTTCTCAGGCCAGCGGAAGGCAGGCCGTAGATTGCACAGTTGCCATAGAATATGGCCAAGACCCCACATGTCAGTCCTCTGCGTTACAGCTTCTCCCATGATGACCTCCGGTGCCCAATTGAGCATGTCGTTTGTGTTGATGGTGTCGCCGTAGTATCTGTGTGTGAGGAAGAAAAGTTACGGTTTTTGATTGGAAAATGAGAGTTTTATTGTTCTTGTTCTTGATCGTCCTGTTAACCATGCGATAATGTTGGTCATACACGAGGAGGACACATCGAGCTACCATTCAATAGTACAACAAGTCCAATTTTTCTAGTAGTATAAGTAAGGACCTGAAAATGCAACTTCCCCAATCTCCCAGTTTCAGCTTGTAGCTTTCCTTGTCCTTGGTCTCCGCTACTCTCTCTAAGAAGACGTTGCTAGGCTTCACATTCCTGTGTGTCAAGCCATTGTAGTGCAACCAGGCTAGTCCGTGCGTGACTTGGCACATCCAGGTCGAGATCTCTGCCCATTCTAGACGTGGAATACCCAAGTCCCTGACCTCCCGACGGTGTAGTTTTAGCCACAAAGCGAGGTCACGTGCAGGTTCGAATGCGGCGAACGAAATGATCTCATTAGGGGTTCGGAAAAAGCCATAGAACTCGGAAAGAAACGTGCTTTGACGGGAGACTTCGATTAATTTTGGAAGCTCCTCGAATTGATCGATGGCGCGTTGGATACCTGTGGTAGTATATTTTTGTTCTTGAGAATAGAATAAGTATGCTCACGAGGACACAGTCGTACCGAAGACGCGCGTGTACGTGGTATCCCTCTTATGAGAATGGTTGTAGCATGGTTGTTGAGCATGGTTGTCGCATGATCGCGCCATCCATCTTAGAGGAAAACTAGAGAAACAAATGAAGGGAAATCTAGTACGATCCGGTTTTTTCAACAAAGCGTTCTTCATCTTCCTGGTCACTGTCGTTCGTTTCAGCAAATAGGCATCTTGCATTCTGGCATCGTAGTAGTTTTCGTCGTATTCCCTAGCTTTGTGTACTGCAGCCATGGTCTCTCCTGGCTGAAACCACCTACTAGAATGCTCTCCAACTCGGTTCATCCTCGGGGAAGTGTGTGCTGGCATAGGTTCTTGAAGTGGTCCAAGTTGGAGTGAGGGAAGTTTCGGCCCTTTCTTCTTCTGCTGGTCGGAAGCTTCCGTTTCGGCTTCGGAAGTTGCGGCACGTGAAAATCCTTTAGAGCCAGAGCCTGTCGCTGAAGCTGGCGGAGCAACACTAGCCTGCTTTTTCAATGCACCATTTCCATTGCCTTGTCCACCTTGTTCAGTTGCTTCAGCTAAAGCCGCTTTGGCTGCCTGCATCTCCTTTCCCGCCTGAGTGAGTACGCCATTCAGACTCAGAAGCTTGAATGCTCCCCCATTCATCGCAGACGAGTTTGGAGCTCCAGAAGCTGCTGGTCCAGCGTTCAGTCGAACAGGACCAGCGGATAAAAGCAACTTACTTCCCAACGCCGTTGATGGTTTAATGCTCGAATTCATCAGGGACTGCTGCAGAAGTTGTTCCTCGTCCGCCTTGTTGTGTGCAGGTCGTGGCACTGGTGGACCAAAGTAGACTTTCTGTTGTTCTCCAACAGGATTGTTCGTATTTCCGAACAACATAGACTTTCTATTTGTTCCCTTAGAAGTAGCATAGTCTCCACCTTTCTTCAATGCCGACGCCTGATTTTCTAGCGCAAGCTTTCTCCTACTAGGTTGGCTTTCTACACCTGGATAAGACAACAAGGGCATGTCTGCAGTCGGTTTTGAAGGAGAGGGCATGAAAAACACTCCAGCCGTCTCCCCGAATTTCAGTTTCGCGAATTCCAGACAGTCCGTCTCGTTTGGATTCGGTAGTCCGGCAAAGGGGTTCACGGGTCCATTCGGATTCTTTCCACCTTTTTTACCTGCCCTCATCTTCGCTGCCAATGGGTCTCGTTTCGCCAATTCAGCCAATTCTTTAGCTTGTCTCGCTGCCAACGCCGCTGCCTGCATCAGTTGGTTCACCCTCAACAGTTCGTAAAACTCCTTGCCCGCGTCAAACATGTTACTGTTAGCCCGTCCAAACCGGCGTGTGATCTCTTGGTATTGCGCTTTCTCAGTGCCAGGAGGCTCTACGGTACGAGCGAAATCGAAGGGGATGTGCAACTTGATGGTTCTCTTGAAATCCCAATGGTTGTACACGCACAAACTGGCGAAGTAGTAGAAGTCGAAACGCTTCATGAACCGTTCGGCCTCCTCGGTTCGAGCGGGAGACTCCAACTCCTGGAGCTTGCCGAACGCGAAATTGAAAGCTTTCACGTCCATTTTGATGAAGATGATAAGCAAATGCTATTATCTATAATGACGTTGTTGTAGTATATTATTTGTCTATATCTACATGAGCATTCTCAATATGTTTGTACTTGGTCAACATATTCATCACAGTTTTCGGGGGGTAAGTGGAAAGGGTGGCCTTTTCAATAGCCATTTAAAAGTAGAAAGGGATCCCTGAATCCAGATGGAAAATCAGATGCTGATTAGTGAAGTGAATGGGTATCCAAATATGCAAAATGATCATGGTCTAGGTCGTAGCTCGCAGTCAGTAGGTCTCAGACATAGCAATTCTCGCTCCTATCGACAGAAATTATATCATATAGTGACAGGACAGATTTCTTTCACGTCCGTGGCACGTCCACGTAACTTTTTGGATGGTAGTACATTGGTCTCATCTTCAGATGGATCTCTCAGTCTCACGACAGAGTAACGCTCATCTTCCAACCACAAGAACAGACTTCTCTGCAGTTTTTGTAGTTGTGCCTCTTACGTTGTATCATCTCAAGCTCGACAACTTCTTAACCTGCGGTGACGCAGACCACAGGTATGTTGATTCTCTCTAGTATCATATTGGTGATGCCGTCATTGTCACACTCACACTGCATTCTTGGCTCTTACATTGTAACAACAGATCTTTTCTCCGTGCAGGCCCATGATTTTTCTCCCTCCACACGCACAGATGAGATCAAGATCTTGAAAACATATTATACTTACGTAGAAGAGCTGAAGAACGATAAGCAATCCATGAACAAAAACTACACCAAGCGAAGACAGCGAAGATGTCCTCATGACCTGGCGCACTAGATCGTTTTCGATCTATTTCTATTTGTTTGCAAAAGTATAAGTGGTAGACACAATGAAGATCGAGGAATGGGACAGGGCGGACCCAAGAAATTGTGTTGACGGAACAGGGACTAGGCCAAATCTTATGCAACGAAAAATGCGAACAATCATGAGGAGAAGCTATGAAATAAGAAGAATGATGAAGGTGCTATGAAATAGTGTGTGAACTTCTAGACGGTGATTAATCAAAGACAGAGAACTAGCCGTGCACAAGGAAAATAAATAATCAGAACGAGCACAGCGGGGAGACGGAGAATGTGCTATGAGATTATAAATATGAAGTAGATATAAGAAGTGGCGACACGCGTTTATCAGAGCCTTTCACTATTTCTTTATGAGGATTCATACAAGTACATCCACGACTGGTGCCACATAGCAGGGGCCGATAATGCTTTTTCTTGATTTTGATAGAATAAGATCGGTATTTGAATAATCATAATGACTAGAACAACTACAACAAGTAGTTGCATAATAAACTACTACTAGAAACAACATTGACGTTCTTGACGTTGATCTTGCTGATGAACATGTCATTGGACAAATACAAACTCAGAAGACTTTTCAAAGAATAATCGACTACGGCAGAAACTACTAGGTGCTCGATAACACCTTACCACCTTTCATCAATCCACCCCTTATCCTTCATGAAGACCTTAGTTTTCTCCGCTTCTATTCGATCTGTCCCATGTTCGAGATCTTCCTCGTTATCCTGGCGGTTGCCCACCATCTCCTTCATCACCTTTCGCGACCTTTGGTGAGAAAAATAGATCAAGCAACAACGTCGATCGTCGCGTTCCTCTGCGGTACAGATTAGAGGCTGCACGACAGTGGCTCAATTGGTGAGTCAACTAGTACCTCCACCTGTAGTTCGATTGAAAATTAAATAGTCCCTCATTCAATGGGGCATTTCAGTGAAGTAGAGCTAGGGCTTAGTGTCGTGACTCTCAAGCGCTTAACTCTATGTCGGTGTACTTCCCTGCCTTTGTTCCCAGTGTGCTGTGAACCTCTCGCGCATCAAATCGAAACCACGTGCGTTTGATATTCACAACCTTTCCAGGTAATTCCTCACCTGCCTTGTATTTCAGCGCTTGTGCGGATTAGAAGGGGAGTTGAAATTGAATGGTGCTCAACAATAAGAGGACGACGAAGTCTAAAGTTAGCCAAGATGCTCATGATCATGAAGTTTTCAGACCTACCCGTGTGGATCCCTGATGACAGTACTGTTAGTAGTGCCCGTAGAGATTAGTTCTGATAGCGATCATGACCGAAGTAGTTTTAGTCATCGCCATAAAGTTTCTTGTTCTCTGGGCATATCATTCTATGTTTTCGATCCTGATCGCCATGAGCAGTTGACCGGATCCACAGGTCTCCACGCTTATGCTCGGAAAAGTCAAAACTGGTGGATGTGGGTGAGACGAGAGGGTATTATTTACACTTACTTAGTAGATGAGGCGGGAGTAAGCCGATGAAGAAAGTCGATTGAAGATTGAGTGGTCAAGTATTTAAGTAAATGTGGTGGTGGTGCTTGCAACTGATAATCGATTAAGGTAAAAAAACGCCCAGACGAATCGAGACTGAAAGAGCAACAGCAAATGTCTTCTCGTCTAAAAAAACGACACCAAGGTCTTGTTTGCGTCCTACTGACTCCTATGCGCATTCTTCTAAGTTGTAGTCGCAAAACCAAAAGTAAGCCCAGTTTATACTTGCCGTAGCTGACTATCCAGCTCTCCTGCTTGTTGAGGCCGTCAACATGGACTTTCGTCTTGATGCCGAAATTGACAATGACGTTAATGTTATCGCACTCCTGTGGCCGCACGAGACCTAAAATCGTATACAAATTCGGCATTTCCTCTGTAGCTTTGGTGACTTTCAGTCCACTTTTGCGCTTCGCAGTCCCAATGTGCCACCAAGGACCAAGGTGAATGAAAATGGTACAGGAAGGGAAGTAGACTAAGACAGCAGTGAGCGATAGAGGTTGACTTTGCGAACAAAACAATAGAGGTCACTGTCGTTGTATTGTTTTGGTATTCGTATTTGGTACCCTGATTTTGATCATAAGGGAAAACAAGAAGAGAATGCCTCCTGTGATCAAGTTCAGGTTACCAAATACCGAAACCATTCAGTCGTTGTAATAAAAACGAAAGATGGGCTCACGACTACAATTATCATGCTGAATGTCAAATGGGTAAAAGATCAACATAGTGATCATGCAGTTGTACGTTCACTACAAGTTGAACCGCGTCTCAACATGCCAAAATCAAAAACTACGAAGGAAAGACACGACACTACGACACATAAGAAGAAGCGCTGTATTCTGGTTATGAACGCCAGGGCGACCAGGCGACTTCATCTGGTTTCCATTGCGATAGAAAACTTCGCGAAGCGCCGCCTCGACAAACTCGTGATGCTCTGGCTTAAAGTCGTCTTTCCCCAATCTCTTTGCGAAGATTTTCCGTGCCTGATGAGTGCGAATGGGTACCAACGTAATCACTTCAATCGCGAAAGCACATGAGGTTAATAGGGACTGAGAGAAGTTATTAAATAGTAAGAGTCCTCAGTTTCGTGTGCTATAAAAATCCACAACAACTGATTATTTACGTGTCCAGCCGCGCTGAGAAGGGGGTGGCTGAAGATGAGGAAGGCGGGCTGCGCAAAGACAAACGCAAGAAGCAAAACAGACAGCAACGCGGTGGCCCCCCTATGTCGCGCCCTGAGTCTTCGCCCCCGTGTCGCTCCCATAAGGAGGTCGTATACTGACCCCCTCGGCTCATGCAATGCATGCCATGCCATGCCATGCAATCCATGCCATCCAACATCCCTCTTACGAAATGTTCTACTATAAAAATCTACAACAACTGATTATCTACTTGCAGTAATGAAAAGGATACGAGTAAAAAAATGCTGATATTACATGTAAGCTTATCACGATGCACTGCTAGCGATTTACAGCTTATCACAATGTACTGTAAGCTTATCGCGATGTACTCCCTTATTTCAGTCAGCAACTCGGTTATTTGTTCCGTTTTTCGAGTATTTTATGAATATGATCACTAGCAGGCATCAACGATTTAGTTGTACAGCTGTAATACGTCATCAAGCCAGCAATCCGGCAGATCATTAGTCGATGCTGCTGTAGGGAGTTCCGACCGCAGGTCTGTCCGCTCAACTTCCTCCACTCGTCGCCTCCTCGGGTCCTCAGTGTCTGGTATCATTTCTGACCTCTCACGATCAAAGCCGTGAAACTCCTTGAAGAATTCACGCAGATTTGCCGCTGCAGCTAGTGAGCTTGGGCCATCCTGGGCCGAAAGAGTTTCTGAAGGAGAATCCGCGCAAAGCTCTAGCGATATGATGTTCCAGATGCGATCGTACACAACACTATCATAGCTTTCTCCCTCTCCAACGAGGGCACTCAGTTCTTTGCACTCCACGTCGTAGTCGACTTGCTCCGCAAGGTCTGGGGCATAGTACATCCAACCGACAAAGCACAATAAGGCTAAGGCACGTCGATCCGGGAGCCCCGTGCCATCGTAACTACCGCAACAACAGCAGAAAATGTCCTCGCAATAGCAAAGATTAGAAAGTATACATAGAAATCTGCCTGCAGCCAAGAAACTATGACGTATGAACAAGAACAACAGTCAGATAAAGCAGAACGACCGATTGATTGATTTGTTTTTGTGCACAACATATGATTAAAATTAATGATGTTTAAGTTCCGTCTTTGAAAAAAGTAAGAGGCGCAGCTACGCTGTCGACTTAATTAGAAGAACTAGTACACACCCTCCGTAATATAGATGCTCAATTTTTCCTCAAAGCATCGCTTTGGCTTGTTACTTCGGTTCAGCAGCGCCATTCTGCGTTCTAGCTGGGTGATTTGAGATCCACGCCACTCGTGGAAGCTGGAGCGGAAGTAGAGTTTTCGCCATTGTCGGATCGTCTCATCCAGCGGGGCTCTCTTTTCACCTACTTCGGGCAGCGACCGGCGATGCTGCGTCGCCATGCTGTTCAACAGGCGAAAAATCCAGAACGGCATCAGCGCAGTCGCTTCTTCCGCAGACGAAGCTCTGCCATCTTCAAAGCTATCAAAGGAAAGCATGACCCCGATACGTTTTTTGTCGATCTTTGCGCGATTGTCCACACAGTCGCGCAGCTTTTCAAAGGTACGAAAAGTATCGAGGCCTTCCCGGACGCGGAGAAATTTGGATTCCTGAGTTAGAAGAAGAAGACTAGACGTTGCATCTTCCAGCAAGCTGATCATGATGATAGCGATTCTGTACCAAAAATGAATATAGAAGTAGCTTTATCGAATTCAAATGCTCCAATGAGTGGCATCGATTTGTCACTGAAGTCTGACGAGTACGAGACGCACAGATGTATAAAACAATAACGACGACGCGTGGTCTGAACCTGTGAAAAACTAAGTTTACGAAGGAAACACCTATACGAAAAACTGAAATAAGCAAGTTACTACTTTGAATAACCGAGATACTGAAAGAGGAACGGTGTAGCGCCTCTCTAATTTCAGGTAGCTACTCGCTTATTTTTTAAGTTTTCGATTACTTCGAGACTAGCCTTAGACTGAGTCTGGCTTGCAAGATCCTTCGTTCTCTCTCCTCCAGACCCTTCACGGTGGCGCGTAGCGGTCGTCTTTCTAGTGCCTCTACGAAGGTTGTAACCGCCTCACGCTGCAATTCTCCTTTCTTGTGCAGCTGGAGTTCTCGTCGAGTCATTGAGGAAACACCACTTCGCTTGGTCTCTGCGTGTTCGGCTTCAAAGTAGGCCCTTACAACAAGATCACAAAATTTGAGGAGTTCGCCACTGTCCAATCCCGACAGCCCTCGACGCCCATCGCCTTCGTAAACATCTTCTAGCACCTCTTGGTAGTACATCCGGTGGATTAGAGATCAAGTGGAGAAGTTGTCACTTAGTCTTAACCAGAAAAAGGAAAGAAATCACGAGTCTGGCTCAAAGAGGAGTAGTTAGTGACTCCGTGCCAGTAGAAATATATTCATTGATTATGCACATCGCAATGAGTTATAAGAGATCAAGAACCACGCTGCCATAACATCGAAGACGCTACAGGATCGGCAGGCTTTTGTGGAAGTGCTTCGGCTACAGGAGTTTGAGCAGATCCAGATGCATCTTCAACCTCCATTCTCATCGTCGTATCTTCAGCCTCTAGCTCTATCTGCTCCTTTTGCTTTTCGGCTCTCTCTTCAACCTCCTTCCGCCATATCCTTCTCCGCTCCTTGAAAGCACTCGAAAAAGACTCAATCGCCTTCGGCTCTCTTTCTGTGCTGGCACCGCCCAGCTCCTCTGTCGTGTAAATGCTTACACGCGCGAGACAGAAAGAAAGGAGGGAGCGCAGCGCCTTCGCGACGTTGCCAGTACCAACCCACAACTCTCCGCCTGGGGCGGCATTAGATTCATCTCGACGAAGACCATGTCGAGCAATAAAAGTGATGTCGATGTTGTCTGTCTCAAGGTTAGCATACTTACTTACCACGATCAATGGGACGATAGAGCTCGCGCATCATGTTAGAAAGGTTGAGAAGATATGATGCATACGTGGTTAATAGTGAGCAACCCTTCAGCGAGTGCTGCCCTCAGACCCTGTTGACCTTGACTATCCCTCAACTAATAGTGAGAAAAAGCCTCACACAGCTCCTAAGTACTTAGTGCGTATTCTTTCATAACGACAAACTTTTCGATCCATCTTTCGCAGTCTGTTCTTTTATTTTCCACCGAGACTCCCGAGCTTTGCGGGAGCTTCTCTGCGAAGGTGAGGCATGCTAGAAAAAACGGCCTCCAAGGCGAAGTCCAATCTTGAGCTTGTAGTGGTGTCTTCATCTTAGAGCAGAAGGAAATATGCCAAGAGTTATATATCAGTTACCCATTTTGTCAAAAGCACAAGTATGATCAAAAAGATGAGCCGTATTCAAGAGCGCGGACCGTTCGGCGCTGAGTGCGTTGGCGCACTTGTCCAGTACTTTTTGGCACATTTCTAGAACGCACGGCTCGCGAAGCTTTTGAGTTCGGCCCTGTCGACCTCCGGCGACAGCCTTCGAGAGTTGCTCAGGTAATGTTAGAAACGCTACGAAGGTGCCCATTGATGGCACCCGCACAGGAGCAGCGACATAAAATTCTATACCGATTTGACTGCTGTCGGGTACTTGAGCTTCAGGCTATTAAGCTACTGCTTATGACAGCGGCGACGTCGGCTTTCTTACAATACAAAAAAAGAACTTGTTACACGAGGGGTAAACAATGACTCAAAAAGATCGAAGGAAGCGCAGCGGAAAGATCGCCAAGCACCATGAAAAAACACAAACAGCAGACGCCTTAAGATACTCCTCCGGATGATGTCCCAGATTCCCTTATCTTCTTTGCGTCCAATGATATTCTCCAAAGTATCCTTTCCGCCACTTCCGTCCTCGTCGAATTTGATCCAGATCTTCTGCATCTGCGTGTCAGACAGGCACTTTGAGATTAGAAGGGAGGGCTAAATCGATCTGCGGTAACAGTTTAACTCAGTAGTAGTATCGTAGGTGATGTTCTCGAGAGTTGAAGTCTTGTTGTGGATATTTCGTAAGTAGTTGTGGCGGGTGGAGGCTTCCATCAGCGTCAATTCACTCATCCTCAACCTCATCCTGGAGGACCTATAGTATAAATATCTAATCTATTTTTCACCCAACTACAAGGATATCAATGCGCAGCGTACAACTAAACAAGTCGTGGCCTAGTTAAAAATAAAAGACGAGCTCCCGTAAAAGTAGAGCTTGCTGAAGCTCCTTTCGTTTCTGGTCTTTGCTGTCCAAAGTTATCCCCCGATCCACGGGACGGATCTGGCTCCGATCTTTTCCACCTCCTTTCGCTCCGCCTTTTTTGCCGTGATCTTTTCCATACATATTTTTGCCGTCCGTCTTTCCGCCTTTGCCAGCGCCATGAGCTTTGCTCCCTGCTCCAGTAGTTTGGAGCACGTCACCCGGGAAGCCGTCTTTCTTACCTGTTAGTTTGATGTGATTGAGAATCAGTCGCGCAGAAAAAGCGAGCAGGTATGTTCACCTCAGTGCGAGCTCCCTCTTTGTGATACTTAATCGTGATGCCGATGATAACCACAAAGAAAGAAGGGAAAAAGCTGGACCTTTTCCATCCTTCGCGCCGAATTTTCCTTCTATCCGACAGACTTCGCCTTTCGGGCCCATTTTCATGCCTTTCGACGCCAGAATCTCCTCGAAAGACTTGTCACCTTCTCCACGTTTCACCTCCTCACCGGCATCTTTTCCACTTCCATCTTTACCGCCAATGGCCTTCCCTCCTCCGTCTTTGGTGCAACCTATACTATCTTTGCCACCTTTCATGCCCATCTCCTGCGGTGGTACTGCTTGCTCTTTTCCCTCTTTTCCTCCTCCTTTTCCCGTCGACTGCTGGAACGCAGGCACTATGACGCTTGCCATAGTCCTCTCAAGATTTTGGATTAGAGCAGAGTGAGGGCGAAAGTAGCTTTCCTGATTATAATGCGTATGCTATTGGTGTGCCCTGTTTTACTTGTAGGCGCACAGGGTCACGCCTGCTGCGATGCGCTTTATTCTAATGCGCGGGGAGTGGGAAACAAGTTACATCACGCCATACTTTTCCGCCTGGGAAGCACTGCTCGCCGTAGAGTGCGACGCGCGCAAGGGCTTCAGCGATATCGAGGAAGGACCTGCCTGCAGCCTCGTCGCGCGCGATAACCTTGCGCACCTCGTTTGGCGTGTCCTTCAACCAGGTCTCTGAATCGATTCGGTCTGCAAGCTTCGCGCAAAGGTCTGCGCCGTTGTTGCAGTCCTCCCCTAATATGAAAGGAGTGAACTGACAGGCAAGGTATAGTGCTAAGCGTTGCACCCATCTTGGGTCGCGCGTTGATTCTGTATTTTCTACCCATGCAGGTGCCATCCCACCAAAGGCCTCAGGCTGCAGAGTCTTAACCCTAATCAAATTGATCCAGAAACACTAGCACAGCCATAAAGAACCACTTCGCGACAGCGCGCAGGCACGTCCTCGACGGCTTTTTCTTTGCACCTATAATCGATCCAGCATAGGTGTCCGCCTCGGCGTCTGTCACTTTCAGTCGCCGAAGAAGCGCCGTCAGCTTTTCGCGTAAGAGCGCAATGTCCTCTTCCTGTGCCATTGTTCTCCTTCGTTGGTCCTCGTAGTAGTTGCGTAGTAGGTTACCAGCGTAGTTGGTCGTGCTCTGCGGCCGGAGTAAGTAGTAGGAAGTGAGGAGTAGTGTGATTCGTTCTGTTTGATGAAAATGCGGCCACGTTCAACTACACTGTTGACGTTTCTCACTGTGGATTAAGCGCCGTGACAAATACGGCTTCAGCGCCACGGCCCACGACGCTAATGCAACTCTTGGTGCGATCCTGCTTTTCGGTCCACCACTTTTAGCGATGGTACAACCACTGCTAAAAGATCTACTTCTACGCTCACTTAGCCGCTTCTACTTCCGCCTTAATATCTTCAGAAAGAACGGCTCATCTTCTCTTCTTCTTGTACATGTAGTTTAGTCGTGCATGATAGAAACAACTGCAAAAAGAACAAGATGCTTTTGCTTGCTCAACACTCTCATCGGAAATATTTTATTTTATTTTTGCTACAACTTGTTGCTCTACGAGGGACGTAATAAACTACTACGGAGGACAAGAAGATACATGGAGGACAAGATACACCAAAGACAGATTCGTTCCTTTCCAGTGAGTGGCGAAGATTCAGCGCTATTTCATGTGGTCCACCTCACGGGTGAGATGTTGAAAGCATTGAGCTGAGTGTTTGTTTAAAAATCCTTACCAAGGTGTCCTTATTCCACTTTCATGATCCTCATCTCCTATTCTCAACATGAACACTTGTTCTTGGTTGGGACCTCTATCCAAGAAAGAAAAACGGGACACGTGTGCAGTCCTTACTACATCTCATTTTTGGTTTTTGTACGCACGACCAGTTGATCTTGTGATTGTGTGCAGTAAAAGTTCAACGAATGAAGTAGATTGGAGAGAAGTTTATTTTGATATTATTTTCTGTTCAATTGATTCATCTTTCTTTGGGGACACCCTTGGGGTCGCATGAACTCATGAGGACTTACAGCACCATGACTTACACATACACATACATTCACGTCGAAGAAGTGTAAGCTTGAAGAATAAATGTTCAATTTCGAAACAACATCAGTGCGAGCGTCAAGTGGCGCTAAGACTAAACGGAGCGGCGGATCGCCACAACGTATTCATCATCATCGTCTCTTGGTCTCTCCGGTAGAAGTATCCACCAACATCTCGTGGTGAGCGTTCACGACTATGAAAACGCCGAAGAAGTTCTGCTTTTCAAAGAGTAAGAGATTTCCCCTATTATAATCCATGATCTTGTTCTCAGTGAAGATTATGATACGGAGGGATCGTTCAACTACAAAAATAGTGGTACTTAGATGGACGAGATTCATCAGGTTCGAGATTAGTCGCTAGAATTGAAAGAGCGAGAAATATTTAAGTAGGCATATACTTCTTTGAAATTGAATGGCAATGTACGAAGATAGGTACATAGTGAGTGCATGTTAGTGAAGACAAACTCAATCTAGTCTAGGGGGTGAGCGTTCGATTAAGATTTTTATGATCATAATGGTAATCATGTTCTCAGCTATAATCACCTACATCTACTTGTAAGTAGTTCTTTCTTTATAACCTAGTCGTGATAGTGCTTGAAAATGTTGTCCATCTTCGACAAAACCTCATGTGGCAGCTGCTCTTCCTCATCCTCATAGTCCATCCTTAACCCTGAGGCTGTACATGACGGATAGGAAACAGACGACAAGCGAATACGTCCTGCTTTGCCACTTCTAAACTTCTTGGTTGCACATAGAGCTATCTATCATATTAATTGTGAACTAGATCGAAAAACTTAGAGATTTTTAATCTTCATAATGATAAGGATAGGATAAGTGCGTCTTGTTTTTCATACTAAAAGCTAGTCGTGGCCGCGGATTGGGCGTCCTCATTTTGTTCTAAAACTATCATGTTCCCTGAGTGGAAAACACAACATCAGGGTGATCTCTTGTTGCATCTGCATGCTACTTGTTATACAATGAATTAGGAGAAGAGGGTCGCCACCTCTTCACACAGAAAGCTCATTCTTAAATAATCTTAAGTTTACAACTCGAATTTGTTTTGTGCTGGACTTTTGCGGACGAGTCGAGTTCTTGGCGTTCTTAGTGTAGTAATTTTAACCTTTCAAGAAATACTGCACCTTGGTAATAGCTCGAAGACGTAGGACAATGAGATTAGATGAAATTAGATTAGACTGGGCTCCTGCCTCAGCCGTGCGCCATAAGCGCCGGATCGGCAGAAATATTCGTCGGAAAACAGAATTAAGCAAAAATGATTCGAATAAGCGAGATACTGATTACTGAAAGACGAGCAAGCCTCATAATTGACTGATGTTTCAGGATAGCTAGTTAGCTACTCGCTTGTTTTCGTGTCCTAGGATTCTGTAGTGGCTGTATCTTCATCTTGATCTTGGTATTGGTGGACCTACAGGTGTGAGGTCGTTGTGCTTCTTCATCTTCTACACCGTAGTCGTCAGTTCTTGTACCTTTGTGATGTAGTGAAATCATGAATGATAGATAAGTAACAAGGGAACCAAAATTAACATAAGCATTTGCACGAAGAAAACTTGATTATTGCTTGGAGGTAATGGTATAATAGAAGCAGAGTATTTTTAGATACTGATACTTAGTTGTACCGGAACAACAGAATAAATGGCCCTAGTTCTACTGAAGCCTGCCCAATGAAAAGAATATTCACAGCCAACAGACAACATGTCCGACGGGCGCCGCGATGACTCTTGACTACAATTCAACATTAACATTGCAACTACATAGGATAACGATAACATGATAGTTAGATTAGAATATTAGAGCTCAACACCCTGATTCATCTTAAGACTCATCCTAGGGCCCTTCTCCCCTTGAAAAGCCTCCTCGCTAAGTAAGATGCTTCATGAGATGGATTCGGGGAAGCCTTAAGAATAGGATAGCGCCGGAAGAAAGGGTAACATCATCGTATAAATCGAATACTACTGCACAAAACGTCAACATGATCAGCTACAACTCCGGTCGTGACGTATTACGTAGCTCGATAAATATTTGTACTACTACAGTGGAGCAGTAGCTCTTTGTACTTTAGACCCTAGTATAGAATTGCCTACACCTTGAAGATCTCGATTCTCTTTCTTCCGCCGAATACTGCTTTTAAAATCTTTTAGTATACGTGTGCAAGAACGTCGGGCAGGTGTCTGTTGTGTCACTTAAAAACTACATCTTCTTTTTGAATTTGTTCAACTTATAATAAATATATATGCAGCAGCTTAATAAAAAATGCTTAAGTCAATCTGGTTAGTAGAGGCGTAACCTAACATCAAACTAGGAAGAAAAAGTCAATCTTCTTCTTCTTATACATGTTAATCTTTATCGACACGATAGTCACAGATATCTTTTTCTTCTTGTCTTCTACCACCAGAAGGCCTCATCTGCTTTTTTGCTCGCAGAGGAATGGCGCTCCGATGCCCACGCGGTCAAAGTCACAGACTGCGCCTTGCTCTTGGACCATTAGAAGTAGCCAAAATTCTGTAGTAAAAAGTAGGTAGTCTAGTACGTACTCGGAGTTAGTGTTGTAGTACAACAACTACAACTCCTCTACGTAGTTATAATCAGTTGTCGGTAACAACTGCAGCACCTGTTGCCTTCAGTTACCAGCATCAGAGAGTCTACTCAACTGCAGGAGCACAGGAGGGTCTGACAGTAGTATCTACATACCAGAACGAGATCGAATAGTAAAAAGACTATCAGTTACTAAAAACTTGTTCTTAGTGTAGTACTTAGTTGTACAGAGAACGGACTACTCGAATACCTGCTCCTTCTGTAATACTCTGTTCTTGTTAGACTTAGTGTACTCAATGTTGGTAAGACTCTATCAGTCAGTGATAGAGTAGTATTTTTCTACCACGACTAGCCTCTAGAATTCATTTTCATTGTCATAATTCTTATGAAAGGTCTTTGAGGCTGCTTTCTCAGCAGCTTTCACAGCGCCTTCGTATTCGGCCACCAGGCCTCTATAACTTTCGCTTTTTACGTCCGCTAGATCGTTGTTCAAGCAAAAGAGGCGTTAGAAGTGATGCAGATGTAGAAGTAGATGTAGATGTAGACGAGGGGAATGTGTCTGTCGTGTGTCCTTCTCCTTTGCCTTGTTTCTAGATAGGCGTCTTATACGATAAATAAAATACTACTGGGCGGAAGTCTGTCTATCTCGTAATCAGTGAAAGCTTGATAGAGAGAGAGGCTTGCTTAAGCTTAAATTCAACATGATGCTATCTCCAAAGGTTGAGTCAGAGTCTGTCATCTCATAATATTTTCTTCTTGACGGGTCGTTTCCCGACGCGTCTTGCGAGTGTGTGTGATTCCATAACCTGCGCGCAAACCAGGAAAATCGCTGACAATACACGTCCACCTCTTGTAACATTGGGAGATTAGAAGTAGGATAGGGAGTGAGTGTTCAAGCCATGATCGGTACTTCTATCATACATATTTCCAGTCGTGGTGGAGCCCTAACTCTAACAGCTAGAACAGAGACTCAAAAGGAAAATGGAAATCAATCAAGTATAAGTATCTTTTCACGAGGACACTGAAACTAATTAAAAAAAGGAAAATGGAAATCGATCGAGTTAATAAGCTGAAAAAAGGTGTCCACCTTCCATAACAGAATAGAGGTCTGGCGTCAATTTGACTGCTAAGAGCCAGTGCGCTCGTCCTTTCTGCAACCGCGCTGGTGACCAGAAAGACTCTACTTCTTGCTTCGTCACGCCTTGGGTAGAATCGAATATTAGAAGCATGCTTCTAAATCGAAAAAAGTCACTCGTCCATCTATATGGCCAACATCTATGCTGTCACTTCAAACTCAATGGAGAAACGTGTGGACTTTTCTCCTCCTCCTACTGGCTTCAAAGGACCTGGCTTCAAAGAACTACGTGAGAAGTTGTAATTTAGACCACTGCTCATCGCCATAAGTATAGAAGATAAGCGCGAAATCTGGGATCTGGCTCGTACAGAATCTTGCGCCAGGCTGCAAGCTTTTGCCCATGAAGAAAGTGCGCACCACAACGAAACAGCTGCTCCGGAACACTTTTTTGAAGCCAAGGAGTTTAGAAGATAGAAGATCAAGTACTATCTAGCAACTCCATAGAAAAGAGAAGAAGATAATTTTAATCTGTAGATGAGAACAATGATTCAGAAGTTTGAGGATTCATGTACTTAGTTCGTTCTTGTGTACACCTTAAGTATCAGACAACTCCATGGAGGTTCTGTCTCGAGCAATGATTTTCCCTGTTTTTCAAGTTTAAGAATGGTCTTTACAAAGTTTCACCCTTTCAGTGTCTGATACTATTTTTCCTTCCTGAATCTTCAACAGTTTGTTACCTTCTCTTCAACATAAACCTATTTTTTAGTAGTTCACTGGGCCTTACCGTTACTTATGCTTATCTACTTCAATGAACATAAGTATTTAGCTCTTCATGTTCTTACCTGCCTTATGCTTATAATTTTCATCAATAGTTATTTCGATTGCATAAGTTTCATGTTTCCAGGTCAAGGTGACAGCGTCTAATTGGTCTGACGCCGAAGAGTTCGTTCCTTGTAAAAAGGCTAAGAACTCTTCCTGTGACGGTCGCATGCTCACTTCAACGCCTGCAGGAGAGTGTTGAGACGCGATCGCCTCTTCTTTGGTGCTCAGAGTCCTCAGAGTCCTCTTCTTATTCTTGATTTTAGATGAGGTTGCAGAATTACATTCTTCAGAAGATCCTTGGCCTTTTCGTCTCTACTAGAAAATACTAGGCCAAGGATGTTGGTAGCTAGTGGAGGATGTAAAAACTCGGAAACCCTTAATGGAGATACCTTGTCTGGTACTGCTCTGACTCTGACGCTCCTTCGGTCCCGGTCGTGAGGTAGTGGATGTAGAAGAAGAGGAAGAAGGCCTTTGCTTTTTCTTGGCATCGTCTTAGAACTGTCCGTAGATCATCTTTCACGTCCGTGATCCTTCAAAGGAGATTAAGTATCTATTCAAGTATGATAGGAGAGTGAGGGATTAGTTCAAGATGATCATTATTGTATGTTTTCAGAGGAGAGTAAGAGATTACTGTATGTGTATATGATAGAAGAAACGTTGTTGTTCCCAACCCCATGATCTTGTCTTGTTGAGCTGGTTGTTCTCAAGCAGACACCGAAGTAGCACCACTCAATTGTATGTGTAAATAATACTAGGAGATGAATCAATCAATATCAAGTGGCGATGCGCGGTGGTCCGAGTCTAGCGGACGTGACCGTGTCACTGCTCGTCGAAGTATCTATTCCCCGGAACAAATGCAGCCTTAATTGTCAGTGGCTTCTTTCAGCAGCCCAATCGCTTGCAAGATTAGAGCTACCTCCTCGACGTCGCAACATAATCCCCTTGGAGGCTCCTCCCTTTCTTGCCCCTTTTAAGTATGTGTTGATGCAGTTGTCTCCCTTTACGGACGTCTCGCTTTCCTTTTTTCCCCTACTTGTCGAAAAAGCTGATCGAGTCTTCTAAGAGGGCGGTAATGATCAATCTAAGGTCAAGGATGATGATCATCAAATGCTTTCAGAAAGTAGTTGCCTTAACAAATGACGAAAACCTTCTGGGTCAAAAGTAGTGGCCTCCGTCTGCTCAGGACTCTGCTTAAACTGGCAAGCATCCGGGTCCCACTCGAAAGTTTGCGTCGTCTGTCCATGCTCTTGCAAATAAGAAGATTAGAAAAAAGAGATTGTGATTGAGAAGCGCAATGAATGGTTCTGGTATTTGGTAGCCTGAATTTGATCCTAAGGGAAAACAAGAAGAGAACCATTAGGATCAAACTCAGGTTACCAAATACCAGAACCATACATACAAGTAGTAGGTTGGGCGGGTAGTACTCTAATATATAAGGATTTTTGAGAAGATAGTACTTCTAACCCTGTAGGTCATGGTTTTTTTTTTGTAGTTCATTAGTGCAAGAGGTGGGGTACTATATGTGGAATTTGATATGATTGATTGAGGGATCTAACTACGACCTAGGTTAAGTATGAGCATGACGAGCGAAATAATACCATGCATAAGGATATTGTATTTCTGTAAAAAGTAAGGGCCGGTTTTGAAAGACATCGAGTTACTATGATAAGGATGTATTTCTACAAGGGGTGGGGGTTTTGAAAGAGATAGTACAGAGGCTTATCTATTACTACTAACTAAGCGCCGGCGCTTATTCTCAGCAATATTTTGCATGGTGGGATGCACCTAGGTTATGAGGGAAAATTAACCGGCTATTTTTTTTTATGATGTGCTTCAAGCGTCGGGTCGCAGGAATATTAGTGAAAAATGTTTCTTAAGTTTCATGTCTCCTGCTCCATGCGACGTCAGCCGCGTCAATATCGTGGCTTAAAAATGGAGTAGCATCTTCCGCATCTTTCGCTGACTCGTCCTGCTTTTCCTGGCGATCTAGTTCCTCCATATAATTAGAAGACGCTTACAGGAGGAATGTATTGAAAGAAGCCCATCATCTACGGCACTGTAGAGTCTCGTCCATCAGTGATCTCTATCAAAAGTACTACCCTTAACGCTATCGTTCTTCTTCGGAGAAGAACGCTCTCTAAATTCGTTCGCATCCGGGTCCCATTCGAAGGTTGTGCTCGTCTGCCCAAGCTCCTCCAGAAAACAGGATTAGCAGAGGAAGAGTGTGAAATAAGGACTAGACGTAGACGGTACTTCTTAATCACGAGACTATGTATAAGCTGATGCTGTCCCTGCTCAAGAAGATGGAGAGTAGTTATTTTATAGTTGTATACCTTATCATAGACTAGTAAGTAATAATTACTCACTAATAAATAAGGTATACAAGAACTCCGAGGAAGAGTAGCTTTAAATTTCCTAAGCTTCATCATGCTTCTTTCTCCATGCGAAAGGGTCGAAACCTTCTATTGGGTCCGCATCGTCGTCAACTACAGCGTCCAAGCCTATTGGCGGGTCCGCATCTTCGTCAACGACGTCTAACTCTATGGAGAGTCTTCTGTGCTCCGATGGTGACTTCGTACCTTCTGAAAAGGCAGCTAAGAATTCTAATTCATCTTCTTCGTCGTCAGTGGTCATTAGAGCTACCGCGTGGTCGCATCATCCTCCTTGAGAAAGATATACATATAATGCAGTTGTTCTAGTAGACGATATAATTTAATAGCAATAGTACCCTTGGTGGACACTTCTTTTTCATGTTCCTCCTCCTGGATATCCAACATAATGCCGCCTTTGATAGTAGCAGTAGTACTAGTGTACCCATTCGTGGGGTAATGAAGACAGCTTTAATTATTGATTTGCAGTTCTACTTTCACTATTCCTCTCTTCTTTTCCCCTTGAAATAGAGGAAGCTTCTAAGGATGATTATGATACTCTCGACCACTTCTTCTCTTTTGCCTCTAAAAGATGATGGCTTCTAAGACCTTGGAAACGAGGCGGCTTCTAAGGATGATATTAAGGATATGCCACTCCAGTACGTGGTACACGTAGTAGGATGATGTTTTTAAGGATGGATATGGATTTATTTATGCTACTTCAGTACGGCTACGGAGTAGCCTTAATGGGGTTATCTTCCTCTGCTGAGGACTACTCTCCCTCGAATGAGCAGTTTCCGCGTCGCAGTCGTAGTAGTTAGTGCCCGTTTCCCGCAGATCTTGCACCAAAGAGCATTAGAAAGGGACCACTGATGCTGAGGGTCCATTGAAATTAAGAGGGGCCATTGAAAGAGGATCCATTGAAACTGAGAGGCTGACCCTTTTTTTTGGATTTCTTTGGACGATATACAACTACATCTATCACGAGGAAGTGCTGAGGATTAATTAGCGTATGTAAGGGGTCTCTAAAAGAAGACTAAGGAGTTTCAGAAGGTTGCTTTTGAAAGAAAACTTCTGCGGACATGAAAAACTGACGGAACTAAAAATCAACAAATGATAAAGTGTCCCACTCCCAGCTGTAAGTAATGTTAGTTACTTTCTTAGTTAGTTAGGTAGAAGTAGTTGTAGGTCCATAAGTTTCAGCATCATCAAGGTGCTTCTAAAGAACATCATTTTCAAATTTTTACCTTGTGCTTATCAAGAGGAATAGTAGCTTGCTAATATCAATGTTTCTTAAGTGTCACTTCTCACGCTCGATGCGACAGCGGCTAAAAACTCGTGAGTACAGTTCGCATCTGGAGTTGGCGTTTCCCCAAGCACAAGCTCTTGCAACAGCAACTCTTTGCGTGCACTATTTGCAGCGTTAGTCGGCGTTTCCCCAAGCACAAGCTCTTGCAACAGCAACTCTTTGCGCGCACTATTCGCAGGGTTAGTCGGCGTTTCCCCGAGCCCGTCGCCGTCTTGCAACTCCTGGTAAGCACCATCCGCAGCGTTATTAATGGCCGTTTCCCCAACAATGTTGCCCAACTGGTCTATCTGTGCACGATGATTCTGAGCCATCGATGCTTCAGCTTTTTGTTCGGAAGGTTGTTCGCCTTAGAAGAAGGCAATGGCTCTTGGGCAAGCGGATGAACTCTATTGATGATTTATTGAAGATTTTGATTTATAATACAAATACATAGTATTTCAGTGAAGCATCACTAGATCCTTGTTGTAGAGGACTAAATCTAAAAACGACCTCGATAAGTAGAGTTCGTGATAGTTCTGATTTTCGACTGATGGAAATGGAAATCATATTCTAATTTTTCTGGTATGCCTATGGCTGTGAGAACTAAACAAGAGGGAAGTATCACATTTACTAATGTGTTCGTAATTTTTATCGCGTTGGGCTTGAGGCAGATTTTTTGTCGCCAGTTCGCGCTTCAGATTTCGTAATCTTTCCCTCGCAGTTTTCATCTTGGCATTGGAAGGACTTTCTCCTGATGCTCGCGCAGTACTATCCTTGTTGCTGAAGTTGTTTATGTTTTCTTTCTCCTCGTGTGCAGCAGAAGAAGCAGATTATTAGAAATCAATGCGAGAGTTCTAGAGGACCAGGACTCTTACTGAAGCGACGCGTACGTAGTTTCAATATCACCACTTTTTGGATTCAGGATTTAGAGGACCAGGACTCTTACTGAAGCGACGCGTACGTAGTTCCAATATCCTCGCCATTCCAATATATGACTCATACATTCCGCAATCCTGAATCCAAAAAAGTACGAAATAGTACGAGAATAATTAGAGGTAGGTTTTTGGTGCTCGCTTACCCCGCTTGTTATATGCCTTTCCCCCTTAGGAGAGGCATAAAAAGCGGTAAGAAAAGCACCTTTAACCTACCCTTAAAAATAAGTAAAAATCTTATTCACGACTACAACACTTTCTGCTAGTCCGACCTCGCAGCCATAATTTTCAGAGGACACCACGACAGGAGGTCTCGTTGGACGCCTGAGGACAACGACGGCCCCCTTCACCTCCTCGCTAGGAATGTCCTTCAACCGGGTGCTTATCTTCAAAGCGCTGCTCTTATTTGCTCTGTGTTCCTGGAACAGACCCCGCTTGACTTCCTTGTATGTTGGTGGACTTTTTTCTTAGAGGAATCACTATTCCTATCACCAATCCTCATACATTAAACACGACTACTTATGACTAGTACACAAGTAAAACAATGTGATCAAAACCAGGTCATGAGTGCGTTCCTCCTCCTGCCAACTACTTTCTTATTCATTGTTTGGAGGGATAGGTCCAGGACATGAGGGAAAAAAACTAACCGCTTAAACTTAATCTTGCTTAATGATCATCTAAATATAAGATCAAACTTCTAGTACAAGACTCTATGTCCGAAGCATAAGAGGCAGTGTGCTTGTCAGGAATTATTTGGTGGGACAAGAGATGCGCATGATTCAGGTCCAGATGCTTTTTGAGGCCTCCACGAACATTTACCTGTGCTCCTTCGCCAGCTCCTGCGTCTTGATCAGCATCAGCACAACCCATTGCCCTTGCATCAACAACTCCCTTTGCTCGAGCAACATGTTGCTGACGGGGCAACGCCAACGCCGCATCTTCATGTTCCTCGTAGCCGAGAGCCACGTTAGAGCTTCTAACGCAGAAGTCGCCTCCTTGTTGAGGCCAGCTTTTTCCTTGGCTTCTACTTTTTCTACCTACAACGTAAGTACTTGTGTCCGTGAGTCATGTGTATCGTTCTGTAAGGTACTGCCTGTATTGTCTTTGATTAAGAACGATCTTTCTGCTTACTACGAGGAGAAAACGAAAAAGAAATGAAGGACAAGTGATTGAGAAGAGTATGCTGAAGCTGAGGCATTCTCTCTTTTTCGTGCCATATTAACAATAGAGTATGCGTGGGGAATTTGCTCCTGATTTTTGGACGTTTTATTAGAGCGCAAAGCAACTCATTTCTTGCCGGATTGAGGGAAATAGGCAGAAATTGAAGTGGCTTGTTGTAGAAATTGATTGTTTGCTGCTTTTAGGAGTAGGCTAAAGGTGCTCTTCTTACCGCTTTTTATGCCTCTCCTTCTAAGGGAGAAAGGTATAACAAGCGGGGTAAGCGAGCACCAAAAACCTACCTCTAATGCTGCTTTTTCTTTTACCGCTTCTTATTTTACTCTACTGCTCTTACTCCTGCTTCTCTTTTTACTCTACTTGTTCATTTTTGTCGCCTTAATTTTACTGCTACTCTTCGACTTGATACTCGGGAAAACTGTGTTCGTAGGAGCAGGAGCAGCCTCTACCGGTGACATCACTCGCGGATTGGCAGGAAACTGTGGTGGAGGAACGACTGGCCTCCCTCCTGATAGACTTAGAGCGAGCTCAGGGGTCCAGAAGATTCATCATCTCGGATACGGATGGGATCTATTTCCTTCCTCACCTCTACTTAAGGGAATACAGCATTGAGATGAAGATGCTTCTCAAGTCTCAAGATCATGCTTCTGAAGTTAGGGGAACAAGTCTTAATAGGAGTTGTGGTCCTGGATAGCCATGTTGTTGAGTCGGATACTGACCTCCCAACAACTGCATCAACAACGGATATCGACTCTGCCAGCACGGTGCGACAGTCCGCAGTCTATTGTAGAAATCAGCAAGACTTAGAGCATGTTTGTTGAGTAGAGATCTTCTTCAACATTTTCTTTAGTATATAATCCCTTAAAGAACGTCGCTGCAACATACGCATAATAATATTTATACATGTTTGTATGTTAAACAAGTACAAGTTGTTCCAAAGATACAGATAACTTACTAGCTAATCGAAAAATGATGATGCTTCAGCCCATGGCGTCCCACCACACTACAGGTGGTAGGTGGTTATTTTTAAAGTCGCTACATACAAGAAGTAGGTTTTAAACGTCGAAGGAAAACGCAAAGAAAAGATACAGCAGGTAGACATGGAATAGTATTAACCTAGAGATATAATAAGTAGGTACAGATCTTCATGTTCATGCGGATCTAATTCGAAGTCCGCTAAAGCAACAGGAGCCTTGATCATCAAAAGTCTAAAGCAAGAACTACAGCCTTAAAGCAGGAGAAGCAGTAGTCGGAGCAGCAGTATTGGTCGCAGCACCAGGAGCAGCGGCATTAGTCGGAACTAACATGTATCCTTCCGGAACGCGATAAGGAGCAGCGGATCCTGACGACAAAACAGTGGCTCCCGAAGGTATAACGGCGCTACTTCCTGGAGGCACGACTACGTGATGCTGCTGCTTTGCCTGGGTGTAATTTGCTGCTGCTCTTGTAGCCTGGTAAGCAGCTGCTGCTCTTGTAGGATCGTGGTAATCTTAGAACAAAAAGCGTCTCAAGCTTGTTTCTTGTATTTTGTTCGAGTTTGTTTCCTTATTTCTAGAGAAGAAAGAGAAATGGAGCCAAGCAATGTAGTTCCTCTTCCTGGGAAGAAAAATGGCGAATACGATTCAAATAATTGTCATAATGAGAGGACTAGACTCTAGATTATATGAAAGTTCACTGCACTAGTTCCATGTCAAGCCATTCCATGAAGTCTAACACGAGTGGCTAGCTCTTGTACTTGTTCACAAACCTTAAGTATAACGTTGTGCGCGTGCGGCTGCCGACGTCCTCATCGCGGAGGTTGCGTCTACCTCTGCCACATAAGACGAATTATACTGCTATGAGTTAGAAAAGAAAGGACTAGATCGTAGGTTGCATGCAGTACTGAGCTAAAAATCCCTGCACCAAATCAAATACAAATGACCTTTAAACTAAGAAGGATATATACATAGGATCATAGGATAGGGCGCCTTTGCTTAGCCTTCACCCTAGCCCTAAGTCATTTTTTAGTTCTACCGAGGACATATTCCCGCGGCTTTCAGAATCTTCCAAGAAAATGAAAAATGCATCCTTGGACAAATAATAAGCAATCTGCATCGACGTGTGGAGATAAATTAATAGTTACTGATGCTTTGACATCATTGCGTCGAGCCTTAACAAAGTTTGACTGCTCTAGTACACCTCGTCGTGCTTTGATCATCTCCCCAGATTGATACTCCAGCATAGCCTCGTCCCACATTTGAAGATAGCTGCTCACACCTTTCTGTCCTAATAGGCGTCCACCTCCCGGTAGTTCTTTTCCTCCACTTGCAGTCATCATCTCTAGGAACATAGAGTTAAAAGTCTTCTCATCGTCTCCAGGAGAAGAAGGGTGAAGGTCTATTTCAGCGGCTGCCCACGTCGTGTCTCCTTTCGCTCCCTTACTTTTGCTTTTTGAACTTTTGCCTGTTGTGTCCCCTTTGCCTTTCGCTCCTTCGCAAGAAGATGCACTAGTTTCCCAAGTAGTGTATGTGTAGTCTCCTTTCGCTGCTCCCTTACTTTTACTTTTTGAACTTTTGCCTGTTGTGTCCCCTTTGCCTTTCGCTCCTTCG